ACGGATGTTATCTGTGAACTCCACACCCTGCTACACGTACAGAGAGGTGACGCTTGTACTTTTAATAACCGTTGAAAAATACGATTATTATAATGGTGTTAATAGGATAGCTACGCGATAAATCGCAAAAAACAAAAACAAAGAACGAAGCGTGTTTTTTCACGATAAAATATTGTTCTATTACGACATCATTTCTGGAGATTTCGAAGATACGCTCGCATTTTGATTACGTCATATATTGGAAGACATTATATTTGAGAGGGAAGTGAGTTGTTTCCCATAGATGTAGCTTGACTACGCAGATAAACACAATGGCCGAACGATCACATCCAAAAGAGAGCGAGATATGGCAATCGGTATTTGGTGTAAAGACACAGAAAATGGACGTGGGAATTATGAGAATATGCAGGAAATACCAAACTTAACTCCCCTGTTCTTAAAATGGACTTGTCCGACAAGGCCGAGGTTGTATTGTTCTTAAAGCTTGTACATTTTCTTCACAACCTTAGAGAGGCTGTACAAAATTTTGATATCTCATATAAGAAATAAACGACTCGTGGTCATGGTCTATCGTACATTTGGAACCGAACGCGCAGCGTGATGTTTTAAATGTTAAATTTAGCGCCGTTAGATCTACAGGTAATCTTGCTCTACCTTGAAAACACAGTATGTTTATCTCCACTCTACCATGATTAAATAAAACGCGAACTCTTTGGTCTTATCAAATACATTGAGTGAAGCGGCGTGGGTTATATCCATTGTCTTGAGTGGGTTGTCGATCAGTATTTACGGAATCGCGGACAACAGCCTTTAAACAAAATATGGAGCTCAATATGCTCAAGCAGTTTGTTTGCACCGTAATACTTCACTCGAACTTATGACAGGTGCTGAAAGCATGTAGCACGGCAACTTCGTAAACTAACATGGGGTGGTCACCCCCAAAGAAAACCAAGTAAGCCTTGCAAAAGTTTCATTCTACACACCACACGTCACTATTATCACGGCATGTCCCTCATTGTGACGCAAAAGATAAGACGTTACAGTCGTTTATAGAAGGCACCAAATAGCCGTTGTCGTCTCCGTCTCCGTTGTCCTCAAAACATCAAACACATTCTCTTTGTAGAGTTTCATCGTGTTTTCTGATCGAAATGTATTGCCACACATACTTGGAATAGTTCAGTAACCGCATCTTTGCATTTTGTAGGCTATTATTATACATATAATTATTTAAAGTTGCCTACCAACAATCATTGTAAAAGAAGTACTGTTTCAAAAATAGTAGCATCCGCGGTGATGCGGCCGTCAAATTCATCTGTTTCAATCATTGGGAGTTTATTGTGATTTGATACCTCCGATTGCCCAATCAAAATCGAGTATTTTCCCAATTCATGGTATAATGTACAATTAACAAATCCCACTCTTAAATAACAAAGGTGGATGGAAACAGATATTCTCCTACATAAAATGATATCTACAGTCACGCTTGTCAAATACATTTTCACAACATGTCCAGACTTCGTAGCCAGGTGAGAGAATCCCATATATCTGATTTATGTTAAATCTCCTTTTATTCTTGGATTACTTGGTGCCTGGGTACCTTCAGGGTAATTCCTCTTCGCATATCTATCTATTTTCGAGTGTATCATTACTGAAAAACACGGCATGGATAACTAAGATTAAAAAAAGACTTGGACGTTTATTACATTTTTTAATCATTTTTCTGGTAGGCGGATGTGTTGATCACACAATACACATTTGAATAACAACGCTTCATTGTCTTCAGCTATATGTCTTCCTGGTTCAGTAACAGGAAAGCTAATATCTATCCGTCTCTCACAAGTAATTGCACTGGTGGCTATTGATTGAGAAAGACACCTGATCGAGTGTCATTAAGCCTTTGTCCACTAATTGAATCTGGGCCCAGTGTCCCCGAAACAGATAACGTTTTCTCAAAAGTGTTTCAGCGGTTATAATTGCTCTTGTAATCACCGTTTCCGCCTTAATGAGATTGTTTAGGGCAGGCGTCCTTACCCTAAGGTAGACAGATGGATTATTTTCTGCAATGGATTAGCTGTTGACTTAACTGAATGACGAATACTCCTCGACTAGAATCGAACATATATAATAATATATGACAATCTTCAATAATGCATCAGGATTGTGGAACAAGACCAGGTGACATCCAGGTGGTACCCTGCCTTAGATAAAGAAAAACAAAAACATATGCAAAGAGTTACTTCTCTTCCCTTACTGGGCTACAGTAAACTACGCTTATAACGAACATGATTATAACGAACTGACGGATAAAACGAACTGTTGTTTTTTTCCCCGTCCATTTGTTGTACATATGTTTTATATATGCGCATAAAGAACGTCGGTTATAACGAACTAAAATAAGTGGTACAATTCGTTATAACCGTACTGTACTGTACTTTGAATTTGTTTCATTACTGAGTGAGCGAGTATGGTTTTACACCGCCTTTTCAATATGAAATGGGCTTCATATATTCTACCCATGTGGAAAATTGAGCCACTGGGCTACCCTATCGTCCATGTTTCATTACCGAACTGATTCCGGGAAAACAAATGACGGATTCGTAAACAAAACACAGAAAACAATCCCTATTGGCTTTACTACTATTGGAGAAACTGTTTGTGATAACTAATCTGGAAAGACAGACAGAGAGAGAGAGAGAGAGAGAGAGAGAGAGAGAGAGAATATTGTTTATTAAAGTGTCACATGTTATATACACTTCGTAATAAGATATATACAAAACAGTAAAATATACCCTCCGGCCAAATATGACCTACGAGACACTGTAAAACATATCAATCATAAAACTATTCAGTTGAAACAGAATAAAAAATACATACCTCGTGATGCAGGCGCGGAGCACGGCCGTGGGCGGTTTCAGTGAGGAGCGCACCAGTATGCCAGGATACAGGGCAACTGACTTCGAAAGTCCTAAGTTAAACAGTGCGCTCCCCCTTAACTCCCCCCACCGCGTTGCGCCGCCCCCGCTCCCCGAGTGCGTGCGTGCGTGCACACACACACACCACGTCATACATACATACATACATACATACATACATACATACATACATACATACATACATACATACATACATACATACATACATACATACATACATACATACATACATACATACAAGTCATACATACATACTTGGCTTAAAATGAAATTGCCTTCTTTTAACCATGTTGTAAATTGATTTGGCTAAAATACATTGGAGCGATTCTTCGTTCATAATAAAAATAAACTTTTCTAAACTACTCATATAATGAAATGTTTTATCTACAGAAGTTGCTTCTTTAGCTAAGTTGTATCTTAAATCATCATAAAATGGACATTCTATTAAAAAGTGACATTCATCTTCAACATAATTTACATGATCATTAGTAGGATTGGCGTGACAAAATTTACAAGTCCTATCCAACAGTGGGGTAGGTGGCTTGGCGTAGCGGCCGGTCTCAACATGTAAAGGTAAAATACCACAGACATATGAACTTCACATACGAAACCATGCACAGTTTTAAATAAGATTTTCTACACTTCATGTAGTTATCATAGTGACCACACACATGGTGTAAAAATGCTGCTGTGCAACCAGGAATGGAGCAGGAAGCAGAACGTGTTGAAGTGAAACTAGGGTTTCACAGCTAACATTGTATTATTCTTACTTTACTTCAGGAAGGAGGCCGCTTTAGTTCTGCCTAGGTTGACCATCATTTACTAAGTGTCACATTTTTTTCTTTCGTTGTTGAATCGAGGAGTTTGTCATTGTATCCTTTGAGTCTTCTAATTTCGTAGCTAAATTTCCCATCTCTCACATTATATTATATTATGTACATATTTTGTATATATTGTATATAGTGTCTCATAAGCCAATGTCTGGCTGGTCGCACTCCATACACCTTTTATCTTATTGTTCATCGAATTTATATTGTACATGTTGTGCGTGTGACACTTTAATAAACATTTTACTACTACCATGTAACTGCGGTGAATTATGGAGAATGCATCAGCTCTAGTTATGGTGTAAACCATGTACATATAAGGAATATAATAGCGCCAATGTGAGAACCTCGCTGAAGTCTCTCCCCCCCTCCCACCGAATATCAAATGGTCGGTCACAGTCTAGTATGATATGTGCTCACACGTACACATTCAATGAAGCCGCGGTCATCTGCTCCCACACTTCATACTGATTGAGCCCCGATATCCATCTTCGCTTTTGAAACTGAAGCCTCATCCTGAACTGTCAAAAGGTGAGGTGCAATGGGGTTTAACGTCGCCTTCGAGATGATTGCATTTATATAGCGACGCGTGTGTGTGTGTGTGTGTGTGTGTGTGTGTGTGTGTGTGTGTGTGTGTGTGTGTGTGTGTGTGTGTGTGTGTGTGTGTGTGTGTTTGTGTGTTTTGTGGTGTTAGTGTTAGTGTGTGGTGTTAGTGTTAGTGTTAGTGTGTGGTGTGTGTGGTGTGTGTGTGTGTTGGTGTAAGGGTTAGTGTTAGTGTGTGTTAGTGTTAGTGTGTGTTAGTGTTAGTGTTAGTGTGTGTGTGTGTGTGTGTTAGTGTTAGTGTGTGTGTGTGTGTGTGTGTGTGTGTGTGTGTGTGTGTGTGTGTGTGTGTGTGCTAGTCCGGACTGATGCCGGTTTTATAGTGAAAGCCGATCGAGATACCATGCAGCAGTTTAACCTGGATACGCCACGAAGACAAAGAATAACCCTTTATTCTGCGCACCAGGCAGGGTAACAACAATACCACGTTTAGGTATGACATTCTGTCCATTAAACCACGGAGGTAGTCGAACTGTCAAAAGACCAACATGGTGTATAATACATGCACATCTCTACCCGACCATCAGACGAGTTGAACACTTGGAGCTAGAGCTGCATTATTCTGTACGATTAGTAGTTTTTTAAGCCGCCAAGCTGTGTCAAAATTTAAAGATATATGACGTATAGTGTCGTCTTACAGGAAATATGCGAACAACCTACATTTATCGGTGTTGGCGGCGTGATTGACGAGCCGTTCCCATGGAAACAATGGCGACAACGAGGCTGGTTCCAGGCAGCGGTGATGATCATCTCGCTCAACGTGAGGTTCCTGGACAGGCTCATTCCAGGGTATAAAGTCTTTGAACAGAACTTCGATTCTGATTATATTGGTGAGTTGATGAGTGAAGAGTCCTGAGTTGGCTGAAGACTGTGTATCTGCATGCACATTCGTCACCACTCCACACTTTCATAACCTTGTCCGAAAAGATGACGAGGAATATCGTATTGTAATTAGGGGCGTGTCCTATGTTGATGGAATGGGTGTGACTCAGCCCGCAAGGGTGTGTGGGGTGTTCTGGGTGGTGGTAGTAACACACAATTTTGGGTATGCGATAACAAAATGGTCAGTGTTTTATGGTTGTATTATAAATAATACATGTGTGATTTTCATGATTACCGATTACATTGGCAATTTCTTTCTATGGGGAGGGCAATGAAAACCTTCGTGAGAATAATATGATCAGTTAACTACGACAATAGGTAACGATTCTCATACGGACACCTTTCGATAACGTTTTAAGAACATTTGTAAACAGTTTCGTTCATACGACTGAAAGAACGTTTGATTATTCGACTTTAGGAAATTTGCACGCGTTAACATACACGTACGTTGATTAAAATGTGTGCTTTGATCGTAATTGCTTCGTACGATCACTTCAGCATCCAGTTTCCGAAAGTGTTCCTTGAACTGTGACTATCGTCCCATCTAGTTGCTAGTTATCGTACCTTTCCTTGTCGTCGGAAGATCGTTTGCACATAAATGTTCGGCTTCTCCCGTGCATATCCCGGAATCCCGTTTATTTGTATGCCAATCTCATTAAAATCAGACATTTTACTCCGATACGAGACATATAAGCGTTAAAGTCTGACGTCACCTCTACCTTCTTTCGATCGTACACAGCATGATGACGCTGCCTTATTGTTCTACACTCGGAATTTGTCAGAATGTTTTGCCCAATCGTAACGAGAAAATAGAAGACCGGACGCTGATTGGCTGATTAGAACGTGAAGCCGAAAAGGCCTACGATGGCGGTGTTCTCAGATCTTCACACTGAGAGGTATCCTAATCTGGTTTTAATGAGATTGTATGTATGCATTCTGTATTCATTTCCAAGCAGTATACAGGATGACCTTGACCTTGTGTCCTTACTTGCAAGAATCATGATCATAGATTCGGATTCCTTGGTCCGTCAGCACCATACTCATGCTCGACGGTTTCACCAGTGGGATACACGTTTACCACCTGCATCCTTATATCTGCATCGGATTTATGAATCCCACAAACTGAAATAACTAAGGGAGCATCGAGCATTGATTTGTATGTATACAACAAAATGTCTCCCCCCCCCCCCCCCCCCCCCCTTTGAAATCAAACGGATGCTCCCGGAATATTTATAAAAGGGGTGTTAAACCAAACTCACTGACTGACTGTTGCAGGTGCATTCCGATTTACCATGTGGCGGTTTACAGAATGGGTTGAGATTATCATAGACGACCACCTACCCATGCTGGACCACGCCCACTTCTTCTGCAGGGTCATCGGTGCCCCGCCTGAATACTGGGGAGCTCTGGCGGAGAAGGCGTACGCCAAGTGAGGATAAGTTGCAGTCATGGCGTCCTTTCATGCTTTTCACACAATATGATTAGGCTAGTCAACAGCTTTATATTGAAAATTGATATTCCTTACACTTAAAAGGTATACGGTCTTCGTTGAAACGAAACTATTTTCGAACAACAAGGTTGTGAATGTTCGCTTTGACTAAGACTACCGTTAAGATCACCAATTATGACAAGGATGTAAAACTATAAGAATTAATATCGATACACTTTGACCCGCGCCATGCTCTTACAATATCATACTCATCAAATTTTCAGTCGAAAGTCAATTCTTGATTCTATTCATACACAAATGAAAGTTTGGACGTTCATACATCTTGGCACACTGAGCGTTACAACTGTGAACTCTATTCGCAGATGTAAAAAGACGTTCCAGGCCATCGAGTACGGCAACATGTTGGACGCCCTAACCGACCTGACAGGTTGCGTCTGTGAGTACTACACACCCGACGTCAACCCTGCCGACAACCTCTTCCACATCATGTACAAGTCCAGTGTCAACAGATCCATGATGGTGTGTTGGCGGAACGAAAAGAGGCTGACTTCCACTGGCTTTGACTTAGAGGATAGTCAGAAAGTGAGAAAACCGTGTTGATATGTTCTCCCACCCCCCTTTGTCATTTTAGAATGGTGTATTGTGAAGTTAAGGTCTGCATATAATCAAGTCTGGACTCAATGGGGTCACTGATATTTGTTTGTTTGTTTGTTTTGTTTGTTGTTTCACGCCGCACTCCGCAATATCCCAGCTATATGACGGCGGTCTGTAAATAATTGAGTCCGGATCAGACAATAAGGTGATTGACATCTTAAGCATCGATCCATGCAATTGGGATACGTTGACATGCATCAACCAAGTCAGCGGGCCTGACCACACGATCCCGTTAGTCGCCTCTTACGACAAGCATAGTCGCCTGTTATGGCATGCATTGGTTGCTGAAGACCTATTCTACCCCGGATCTTCACGGGTCTGTCACTATTAAGTGGGATAGATGACACATAACCACTACTAAGCCGTCACGAGTTTTGTACCAATACTCAAAATACCAATGCTTTTGAAAACTGTTTGTCACAGTTAAACTGCACTTAGAGATCTGTTTAGTTGCACAGAAATAAATAAAATTTAGCTTGTAGATAAAATAGCGATTTTGATTTCCAGTTTTGAATTCGATGTAACGTAGAAATTCCATGTAATTGTGTCCCCTTCAGGCGCACAACGACTACGACGAACATGCGGCAGAGGAACGGCATTTCCTACATCTGATCACAGCCACGACTAAGGTAGGCAGAAATGCATTAAATGTATACTTTATAGGGTTAAAATACCACAGGAAAGCTGTTTGTAATTCTTTGCCGCCGCAGGGTATCGACGTTTATAATCGTGGGTTCGAATCAAAGATTCGCCACGATTACGAGTCTTTTTTTTACCACTATAGCTGTGGTGATGGATTTCAGCAAAGTGGCAAACGTCTCCGAAGTCTATTCATATACCTGTGTTACCTGTTTCAAATATAAATTGTAGTGTATTTGGTGCCTAAAGGTAGAAAATATAGTTGATAAGGTAGTGAAGATAGCGATAGTACATAAAGGTAGGAAATATAGTTGATAAGGTAGTGAAGACGGCGATAGTACATAAAGGTAGGAAATATAGTTGAAAAGGTAGTGAAGACGGCGATAGTACATAAAGGTAGGACATATAGTTGATAAGGTAGTGAAGACAGCGATAGTACATGAAGGTAGGAAATATAGTATTATTTACTGTTGATAAGGTAGTGAAGATAGCGATAGTACATAAAGGTAGGAAATATAGTTGATAAGGTAGTGAAGACGGCGATAGTACATAAAGGTAGAAACATTTTTTGATAAGGTAGTGAAGACAGCGATAGTACATAAAGGTAGGAAATATAGTTGATAAGGTAGTGAAGACGCCGATAGTACATAAAGGTAGGAAATATAGTTGATAAGGTAGTGAAGACAGCGATAGTACGTAAAGGTAGGAAATATAGTTGATAAGGTAGTGAAGACAGCGATAGTACATGAAGGTAGGAAATATAGTATTATTTACTGTTGATAAGGTAGTGAAGATAGCGATAGTACATAAAGGTAGGAAATATAGTTGATAAGGTAGTGAAGACGGCGATAGTACATAAAGGTAGGAAATATAGTTGATAAGGTAGTGAAGACAGCAATAGTACATGATGGTAGGAAATATAGTTGATAAGGTAGTGAAGACAGCGATAGTACATAAAGGTAGGAAATATAGTTGATAAGGTAGTGAAGACGGCGATAGTACATAAAGGTAGGACATATAGTTGATAAGGTAGTGAAGATAGCGATAGTACATAAAGGTAGGAAATATAGTTGATAAGGTAGTGAAGACGGCGATAGTACATAAAGGTAGGAAATATAGTTGATAAGGTAGTGAAGATAGCGATAGTACATAAAGGTAGGAAATATAGTTGATAAGGTAGTGAAGACGGCGATAGTACATAAAGGTAGGAAATATAGTTGATAAGGTAGTGAAGACAGCGATAGTACGTAAAGGTAGGAAATATAGTTGATAAGGTAGTGAAGACAGCGATAGTACATGAAGGTAGGAAATATAGTATTATTTACTGTTGATAAGGTAGTGAAGATAGCGATAGTACATAAAGGTAGGAAATATAGTTGATAAGGTAGTGAAGACGGCGATAGTACATAAAGGTAGGACATATAGTTGATAAGGTAGTGAAGACAGCGATAGTACATGAAGGTAGGAAATATAGTATTATTTACTGTTGATAAGGAAGTGAAGACGGCGATAGTACATAAAGGTAGGAAATATAGTTGATAAGGTAGTGAAGACGGCGATAGTACATAAAGGTAGGAAATTTAGTTGATAAGGTAGTGAAGACAGCGATAGTACATATAGGTAGGAAATATAGTTTATAAGGTAGTGAAGACAACGATAGTACATAAATGTAGGAAATATAGTTGATAAGGTAGTGAAGATAGCGATAGTACATAAAGGTAGGAAATATAGTTGATAAGGTTGTGAAGACAGCGATAGTACATAAAGGTAGGAAATATATTTGATAAGGTAGTGAAAACAGCGATAGTATCTGAAGGTAGGAAATATAGTATTATTTACTGTTGATAAGGTAGTGAAGATAGCGATAGTACATAAAGGTAGGAAATATAGTTGATAAGGTAGTGAAGACGCCGATAGTACATAAAGGTAGGAAATATAGTTGATAAGGTAGTGAAGACGGCGATAGTACATAAAGGTAGGACATATAGTTGATAAGGTAGTGAAGACGCCGATTGTACATAAAGGTAGGAAATATAGTTGATAAGGTAGTGAAGACAGCGATAGTACATAAAGGTAGGAAATATAGTTTATAAGGTAGTGAAGACGGCGATAGTACATAAAGGTAGGAAATATAGTTGATGAGGTAGTGAAGACGGCGATAGTACATAAAGGTAGAGACGGTTGTGCATAAAGGTATACAAGGTAGTGCCAAAACACTGCGAAGGTTGTGTATAATATAGTTGTGTATAGGTAGCGTAAATAGAGCATGAATGAAGCGAAGGGATCGATACATTGGTCACCAACTCGTGGTGGACTCGCACCCCTCTCGAAGGTTTCCATATTGGCGTATGAACACGATAAATAACTTCAAACAAGAACGATAACTCTTATTCTACCCGCGTCTTGTAACATTGATGTATGTATGACAACATCGCTCGCTTATTCCTGTTGTAAACTATTTAACCTCTCTGATACTTACATACATGTATTCTTTTGTACAAAAGTTTATTTGGCAAGCCATCCAACGCATTCTTTCTCAGCTGTTTATCTTTTATTTGCAATTTAACATTAAAAGAAATTAGAGGAAGAAACCTGACCTGTGTTTTTCGGATTTAAGTAATTTCGAAAATGAATTTCTAAGTCATGATCAGTTAAGTATAACAGATTTGACATGTCTTCTTAATGCTTGAAACGACATTCTTTAATACTAATTTATTTCATGACACCCTCTCCTTTCACGAACAGCCTTAACAAATAGTACACCTATTTTATATGAATTAATTACAATAACATTATAAAGGAATATCATATCCACAATGTCTAGAGATGTATAGAAGTATTTCTAAACATATACCAACAATGTAATGAGACCGTGTAAATATTCAAACCGAGCGAGGAGCCCATGCTTGTCGGAAGAGGACAGAATCGGAAGCTTATGTCACGAGTTGGTGACCAATGTATCGATCCCTTCGCTTCATTTATGCTCTATTTACGCTACCTATACACAACTATATTATACACAACCTTCGCAGCGTTTTGGCACTACCTTATATACCTTTATGCACAACCGTCTCTACCTTTATGTACTATCGCCGTCTTCACTACCTTATCAACTATATTTCCTACCTTTATAAAAAAATTGCAACACAATTGTTTTAAATACATTACCACTGCTCTAACTTTGATATAATCCACCTACACAAATCCAACCATTGATATCTAATAAAGCGAAGATACACATCATTAATTATAGAAGTTGAGTGTCTCTTTACATGTCAGTAGTAGCTGGCGTAATTAAATTTATACCCTAGAACTTCAGACAGAATAAATCCTATGACCCCCCACAAGTATCCCTCGTTCTCCCAACCTACACGTTATAATACCTCGGTTAAATACTTTTGACATGGTCATTGATTATAATGAAAAATATGAATGACCTGAGCAAATTCAGCCATCTTATATAGTTCATTTTGCAAATTTTAATATTTCGGTACACGTATTTTATTAACCTGTATGAAAGCTACTTTTTAAAAGTCTTTACTGGAGCATTGGCTACCTTAGTTTGTTACAATCAAATTTGTGAAAATCGCCAATGACCCAAAATATCCGCTACTCAGTATCACAATGTGAGTTTAATAGGAATCTGTTTTGAAATCTGTGATTATTGAATTACTTTAATACATTTTCAGTTCTTGGTATTATATACAAATGGACTTTTTTCAACAAACGGATATTTCCAAAAACAATTTAAATACTCGGGATTGCGCCGTTTCGACGCATGGCCTTTGAGAGACGGACGAGCCTTGTTGTAGGTTACAGAACCATGCGAGTGGTGACGAATAGGTATCGATAGTGCATTAAGGTAATGAAAGGGGAGCATAAAAGTGACGAAAGTAGCGATAGCGCACTCAGGTATAGACGGTAGTGGATAACGACAGAGACTGTACTGGATAACAGTTGAGACGGTAGTGGATAAAGGTAGAGTCGGTAGTGCATAACGGTTGCCAAGGCATCGACAGTAAAGGCAGCGAAGGTAGTTTCAGTGTATGAAACAGGGCCTATGATCCTCTCAATGTATTTTGGTATATGTTCCAGTTTCCCAGCACAGACGGGCGTCTGATCGAGATGCTCCGACTCCGGTGCCCGTTTCCCAAGGAACCAAAATGGCATGGAAAATACTCCGATAAGTGAGTTCCCAAATTAATGCGTCATAGAATAGGTGGCATTGCGATCTCTGAGACTCTTAGAAGAGCCTGAGAAGCTGAATATTTGGATTGGTTTTACAGTTGTATTTTTTAATGAAACGCCTAAGTGTGGTTCAGATTGGTCTTATGACTGTGTCGTATTTTACTGATCCCCATTAATGTGTAACATTTTACCATGGCCCCACCTCTCCCAATAATAAACATCCAGTCCGATAATAATGTTTCAATTCATACTTAATAAAAAGTGCGTCACCCCCTTTCGCTGTCTTGTTTCTTATGGCAACCCTCTATTCCCCACCACCCCACCCCACACACACCAATATTAAATGAACAGTCCCTAGCTTTGAACAGCACCGTGTAATCTAACACAGACAACTTTTGTTTGTTTCTTAACGCCACACTCTAGCAGCCAGTTAATAATCGAATCTTGTATTGGCCAGACAATGCAATGATAGCTATTATGAGCACCCATTCACCCCGTTGGTGTACGATGACACACTATATCAACCAAGTGCAATACGTTTGATTCTGCGAACAATCATCAACGCTCATTCATTGCGATGCCGATGCATATGTTTACAGTGACTCCAACTCTTGGAATACCGTAACGGCAGAGTTCAAGGAGAAGTACCGACCTTTATCCCGGAAGGAGGATGATGAATATTGGTTAACTGTGGATGACTTCCGGTGTAATTTCGGAGGGCTTGTGATCATCAGCAGCACTGAGGCGTTTAATTACGAAGGGCTCACTGTTGGCAGAAACTATTCTCTTGACAACGACTTTCCTTTAGGTAAAGATCGGAATAAGTTTATGATGGGCAATCAGACCCGCCCATGGATCAACTTTGAAAGGTCGCCCTCTTCCTGTGAACAAGAAATTAAGATTTTTTGTGACTCCCGACCAAATTCAAACAAAGTGAAGCTTCTGAAAAAGGCGCCATTTGTGAATAACTGTAGTGGGGGTATGGACATTCCAGATATTGACAGGACTGTTGTTCTTGACTGTACAAAAGAGCGGTTAAAAGCAGACGACAAAAGAAGAATTACAGAAAAACATGCAAGATCAGTTCCTAAGGGACCACCTCAAGTGAAAGAAAGAAAGACGAGTCTGCCCCCGGATCTGCGTGGGGCTGCATCGCCAACAGAAAGTATCAGAAGACAGTCGAATCCGTGGATGTGCAAGTCCCCCGGCCCGGTGCCCGTAGATGGAGACAAGAGACACAAACGGGTGGGCAGTTTCGTGAATCACAGTGAACCCTACAGCTCGTCTGAAATATCGCTCCACATACGAACTGCACTCTCGGTGGACGACAGTTGCCGACCCCAGAGTGCCCCGTTGCCACGCAACCACTCAACGGGATCACTGAGTTCACTTACGCAAATAAACTTTTTAGCAACAAAAGCCGACTTTTTCAGAGCTCATGGAAGGTGGCGGAACATTCTGGAGTACAAGGACAAGTGGTCAAGTGGGTACTGTTTACATATTACCAGTAGTTAATTCAACATGTCAACAGACAATATTCAGTCTCGATTATCTGCCGAAATAGATTCCACTGGGCGTTAAAGGTCATGAAAAGTATATGTTCTGCTTTACCAGTAGCACCAACTACTCACACAGTTTTCTTAAAGGAGTAAGTGTTTGTTGCGTAACGTCGCACCCACCAATATTCCTGCACTACAACGGCGGCATGTAAACGGCAATGTAAACTCGTATTAGTCACTGGTGGCGCTACGATCGAGCCCAGAAATTCCAGCCTAATTCGGCAAGGGTGGAAACTGGACTTTTAGAGTCAGTTAACGCCCTTGCCATGGGAGGATGATGACTTTGAGACCGTCGTCATGGAGCAGGGATGTAGCTGAATGCGGCGTTAAATAACAAACAAACAAACAAGCCTTGTCTCATAAAAAAACGCCTCCTCCATTATCCACTTCAGTATATCATTGATCACTATTTAGATTGGCGATATAATACACCCTATACACCCGATAATCAAGGATGATATTTTTCGTAAGTAATCACACGCACTGCTCTATTCACCAGAAAACCGGAAAGGCGTATCCAGATCAAACATCGAAGCTCATTCCAAAAGTCCTCGGATCCTGTTCCACGTGTCACGCGCAGACGTATCTGATGTCATCATATCTCCCGGCATGCAAAATAAACGTCACGTGCTGATATCAGTCCTCCAAGATTATCGTCATGGTCCCTCCACTGCTAACAGTCTCCTTGTTCCAGTTGGCTTTTGTATTTACAAGGTAAGAGGTTCGACATTTTGTTTCGGATTTAGTGAGATCAATAACGATCAGATAACGTAGCAGGGTGATTTAAAGACGTTGTGTTTGTTTTCAGACCAAGAATCCCGATCGAGATGAGAAACGACACATTTCCAAACTTCATCTGATTGGCGAGGTTGAGGGAAAACCGGAAATGCGGGAAGTGAATACACGCTTTGACCTCGAACCTGGAAGTTATTTCATTGTTCCCTACTACGTTGCGCAGGCGCACGAGGGAGAATATCTCATTCGTATATTGACAGAGGGAGACCCCCCAAGCGGCAAAGCGGCATGGTGAGGCTCATTTGTTATGCTATTTGGAGTGATTGAATTTGATATGACGCCGTTGCGAAAAGTATTTCAATTATATAGCGGCGTGTCAATTTGATATAGTAGGATATCCCAAAGCGACGCAAGTCAAATACGTTAACTCGTTACACATAATCACACTAGTAGTAAATACAATGTTTGGCAATGAAGATATATATATGTATAAATATATCGTTTTGCGCTTGTTTTTTCAGTACAATATCGTGAAGACACCATGGGTTAATATTCGTCACAATAAGTGAATATGTCCCTTGTACATCCGTGTGCTATAGTGACAAATATTTACAGCTACGTCGATGAAGTCATTCTGGATGAACGTTGCAGCCGCAGTGGTCTGACAAAAGTTCAGATATCACACCTGACGTTGGGCAATTCGCATTTCACAAGACGTTGTGTACAGACGATGAATCAACCGAGTCACTAATGCTTGCAGCGTAGTCTTTTCTGAATGACAACAGTGGTGAATGCATAGCAGCAGCAAAGAGCATCCAGACACCGTGATACGTCCCCACAAGGCCTTGTTTGACCTGGGCAAACCATTCAAGCACTATAAGTTATGGAAGCTCACATAAAATACAGCTGTGCTTCATGCTGGGTTCGGTTCATTGAAGTCTCACGTTATACCTTTTTTAACTGTGTTTGCAAGATGGGTCAGTGACAGTCCGATCCGTGGTACCTGTGTTTGCAAGATGGGTCAATGACAGTCCGATCCATGGTACCTGTGTTTGCAAGATGGGTCAGTGACAGTCCGATCCATGGTACCTGTGTTTGCAAGATGGGTCAGTGACAGTCCGATCCATGGTACCTGTGTTTGCAAGATGGGTCAATGACAGTCCGATCCATGGTACCTGTGTTTGCAAGATGGGTCAGTGAGTGTCCGATCCATGTTACCTGTGTTTGCAAGATGGGTCAATGACAGTCCGATTCATGGTACCTGTGTTTGCAAGATGGGTCAGTGACAGTCCGATCCATGGTACCTGCGTTTGCAAGATGGGTCAATGCCAGTCCGATCCATGGTACCTGTGTTTGCAAGATGGGTCAATGACAGTCCGATCCATGGTACCTGTGTTTGCAAGATGGGTCAGTGACAGTCCGATCCATGGTACCTGTGTTTGCAAGATGGGTCAGTGATAGTCCGATCCATGTTACCTGTGTTTGCAAGATGGGTCAATGACAGTCCGATCCATGTTACCTGTGTTTGCAAGATGGGTCAATGACAGTCCGATCCAGACCTGTGTTAATCTGTTACCTGTATATTTGTTCAAATACGACTGAGACAGATACCGCCAGAGACTGTGCAGAGGAAGTAAAAGGGGCTATGTGCATGTGTACACCTTTCGATATAACCCGAAAACTACAGATCAACGTGTTATTTCATTGTCTTTGAATGTCATGAACCACTATTTCTTTGCCATGATATACAACAAATGTGATGTTTTAACTTGCCACATTCAACCACATGTGTGTTTATTTCCGTCCGCACGCGTTCTGCTAAGTGAGGGAATGATGAACACTGAACACCTAGAAGACTCTAGGGCAGTGCGCTTTATCATGCTTTATGATACGCCACCCGTAGTCTCAGGTTCACCCTAGCGCACATAGTGACGTCCGTCATTGATATGTTGATATAATAAACTGTTAAAAAATAATAGAGGTGTTGAGAACCTGATGTCATTTTTTATCAATTTTGAGGATTGTTACCATTACGATGCCAAAGCAACCACACCGAATGTTCCGTCATTCGTGGTTTTTTAATGACCATTACGATCAATTATGTTCGCTCACTGATTTACAAAAGCAATTCGTGGTAGACCGGATGTCGTGATGCACCCGTGCAGGGAGAACGGTAGCCCAGCCAGCTAAATCATTGCTTGTCACACCAAAACCGGCGGTTAAAACGCGTGTGCACTATGGGTAAAGCGAATTCTTCGTGTCCCCGCTTTTTTCTTTTTTTTTTGGGGGGGGGGGGGGGGGGGGGGGGGGGGGGGGGATTGTTAAAAACGGATTAAACTCACCCTCACCCACTCATTCACACTGAATCGCCCTAGTTTTGTTTGTTTGTTGTTTAACGCTGCACTCAGCAATATTCCAGCTATATGACGGCGGTCTGTAAAATAATTTAGTCTTGACCAGACAATCCAGTGATTGACATCATGAGCATCGCTCCACGCAATTGGGATACGATGACATGCATCAACCAAGTCAGCTAGCTTAACCACCCGATCCCGTTTGTCGCCTCTTACGACAAGCATAGTCGCCTTTTACGACAAGCACTGGTGGCTGAAGACCTATTCTACCCCGGGTCGTATAGCCGTAGTATGACGGCAGGGAACAGCGTTACTGTTCTATTGCTTTCCTTGTTATGGGGGTATTATTACTTAGGCGGCCAACATGGTACAGCTCTGGTATTGCTGACGACGACGTAAAATTCAAGTCATTCTCAAACTCATCTTATCAAAGTGTACTCTTCTCAAAGACTTGATTAACACACAGTAAAATGCTAACTGATAACTGTTGTCCTAGGATATTGATTACTGGGAATCATAGGACAGCCGTAGCTTGGAACCACTGCACTGAAACCAGGAGTACAAGGAACCAATGTCCTAAGACACCGACAAAATTACACATTGTTCTGACGTTGAATACTGGAACTATTGTCATGGGAAACTGAAAACAATGCAAATTTGTTCAAGGACATCGAATACTAGAAACCGCTCTTAATGGACCATGGTCCGTCGGGTTTTCAACTTGAATGTGGTACTTTAAATTTGCAAACGTCGATTTGTTTTTGTTTAAACAACAGCAGAGCTAGGACCTCAATGATTCTTCAAGAAAAAAGCACGATAAACACCCTTAAGATACGTCTAATCGTCATCTCGGCCTCGTTGTATTGCATACAACGATATATTCAACTTCCTGCCCCCGGGGGTACATTAAGCAGGTACTCGTGTCTTCACTGCAGACAACAGTCAACAGACGGAGAAGCGCCCACCTGCCAGCATCTGTCCGACCACACACACTTGCAGGAAGAACGTACCGGTATACCTCGCTAACAAACAAAACATAGTCATTCTATTTTTAACGGTGTGATCAATGGATACTGTTTAATCACTTAGTCGAATAACGTACAAAGATCACCGAGTGAAGTCCGAGTGCGCATCACACGTTGCCTCTGATGACAAATCTAAAGTGAACTCAAAGCCTACCATTCACGTTGGAGGTTCTGCAACAGGATGAGCAGAGTTGGACACGATTCAGATTCAAGCCGATTATTACCCTTGTACCTTGCTGATGTGAAGAAAGAGAGACAGACAGATATTTATGTCTCAGACACCCCAAGGGAGGGGAGACATAGTATTTTTTGCTCGGTTCCCGCGTCGGCGTCGGCGTTCCCGTCCTATCTCGAACCATAACTTGAAAACCGTTCAATGTGTTTCAACAAACTTTGGCATATGCATTGCCCATCAGCTTAACTGGTGCATTTTGCCATTTGAATTTGTTCTAAAATATATTTTGTTACGTTTCAATGGAAACAGTTTGGAGTCTCAAATGAGTTTTGTAAAAAGCTATACATGTGCAATAACTACATGTTAACTATTGCTTTTTCATATTTTCCATGTTTGATTGTCTTTATTTCTTGTGTTTCCATGGAAATAATTTTGAATTTTTTAAGAGTCTTTCCACTAAGCATTAAGCTTGTAATTTTTCATTATGGGTACATCTAATTGCACATGCATCTATTATCCAAATAAATAAATAAATAAATAAATAAATAAATAAATAAATAAATAAATAAATAAATAAATAAATAAATAAATAAATAAATAAATAAATAAATAAATAAATAAATAAATAAATAAATAAATAATAGCGACACAACCCTCACCAAATTCATAAAACATCACTGCCAGAAGCAGAGTCGGATGTAGTGATGATACCAGGTGTTCGCGAAAAGGTGAGTGTATCCTGTCCCACCGGGGGCACCTATCAAAAACACATGCAGAGGCAAAAAAAACAAACCACTGGTACATATGGTACAAATCAAAATAGGGAACTGCATAAGACATCATTCTATCGCCCATACTCATGTAACAACTTCATAATCTTGTCTGCCATAAAGAGTACACATGGCATCAACTGCAATGCTGCTTCAGAGATGCATTAAACCCCAATACTTTCAGGGAAATTTGCCTTTTAAATGTAGTTGGCAAACGTTATATCTATTGTTATGATATCTGTTATGAAATGTTTATCCCACTGGATAAAATTATTGTCCATGCCATGCCATATGTACCCAAGAATTTGTTTTAATATGTTGCTTTCACGAAGTCTTGATAATGCTGGAAGGCATTAAATCAGATTTGGTTAAATCAGGGTGTTGGAAGCCCGCACATATTTTTAGTTTCTTTTTCTCGGCGATTGAAAGATGCATCACGTCAAAATTGGCTTTGATATTTACATAGGAAAGTCAACTTAAGATTATATGAACTGTGTAAATATGTGCTACAACCTGAACAGTATCAAGTAAATATTAAGAGTCAGTTATGTAAGAAATGCTTAAGCGTATTCCGTTGTGGAAATCATTATTTACGTATTTAGTCTAGACGATTGAAAATATTTTGTACGAAGAAAGATTATGTTTATAATCTAAACATGTTTGTTTAAAGAAAGTTATCGAAGATGAAGAACATTTTCTGTTGATGTGTCCTTTGTATGAGAATGGAAGGAGAATTTAGCGTTGTGAAAGGACATGTTAACGTTATAAGTATCATGAAAATGTGTGACAACCAACATGCATGGAAACTAGGTCCAACACATATTTTATGGTATTAATGTGAGATGTATTGCATGTACAAAGGCGGGCCTTTCATCAATATATTGTTTGTGAATTGTTTGTGAATTATGGATGGCCTACATTTCCGGAATAAAAACACACAAACATGTATTAATCAGAATCTGTACTAGTATTTATTTCGGATTTCCAAACAACTTTCTAGTAACAACTTGAACTGATGTAGCAAAACAAGGAGCAGGGAGACATCTGCTTTTAGGGGTAAAAACACATTCTAGTGTTATTTGAGTCTCACATATCATACACAAATACATTACTACCATTGAGCAATTCCATATTTACGTAAAACATTAACTGTACATCATACAATAGTGAAACATTAAATGTTTATATCATACAACATTGTACTTATTTACATTTCTTCAGACCTCTTTAGGCTCGACAGAAGCTATTGATGTTTGCTTCGAATACGAGGTTCTCCTCGATCATTATCCTTGGTCTGTCAGCATCACACCCAATCCTCGGTTCCACTGATTCATTATATAACTTACACTTGCCAACAGGGGAAGTACAATGTAATCCAGATGACGCGTTGTATGCACGCACGGGAACATCTACGACTTTCAATTCCTGATACCCGGAACAGTGTTCAAAGCGAAGTTAAACGACTCACTGACCATGTAGTTTTCAACACATTAACCTTTTATTCATCATCTATCATCAAGTGTATTCTATCTGGACCCGTACATACACTTAACGATCCCGGATAGAATAGGTCTTCAGCAACCCATGCTTGCCGTAAAAGGCGACTATGCTTGTCGTAAGAGGTGACAAACAGGATCGGGTGGTCAGGCTCGCTGACTTGGTTGATGCAAGTCATCGTATCCCATTTGCGTGGATCGATGCTCATGATGTCAATCACTGGATTGTCTGGTCCAGACCCGATTATTTGCAGACCGTCGTCATTTAGCTGGAATGTGGAGTTTGAGAACAAACAAACTTAAAAGAAATAATAATATTTAGACTTTTGCAGCTGCGATTAAAAGAGTATCTAGTCTCCAAACGAAATCCCAGCCCCCTAGACATACATGTTTTCCTTGAGGACTGTTGTCTATTTACGGACTGACGTCATATAGCTGGAATATTGCTGAGTGCGGCGCTGAACAACAACCCAACAAACATACCCATAACTTGAGTCTTTCTTTCCTCATAAATGAATTGATTTACAGAACCTTGTGGCTCACCAGTTCAGTGATTGACGCTATAGCTCACTTTTATTTTATCAAATGAGATAAAGGCATCAACCATTGTTGACTCATTGTTGACCTTAGCTGAAGGGTTACAGTCTCCATAATGAATGTCACGGATGAGCCTCCTTTCCTCATCACCAACATGGATCTATTGTTGTTTTACTTGAGGTTGGTATACCCGACTGCACATCCACACTTCGGGTTAGGTTGCTCATTTCCATAAACATGAATTAACAAAAACGACAACAGTCCTCAAGGAATATATGTATGTTTAGGTGGTTTGGGTTTCGTTTGGGGACTAGATACTCTTTTAACTGCAGCTGCAAAAGTCTAATTATTATATTTCTTTTAAGTTTGTTTGTTCTCAAACGCCACATTCCAGCTATATGGCGGCGATCTGTAAATAATCGGGTCTGAACCAGACAATCCAGTGATTGACATCATGAGCATCGCTCCACGCAATTGGGATCGATGACATGCATCCTCCATTTCAGCGAGCCTGACCACCCGATACCGTTTGTCGCCTCTTACGGCAAGCATGGGTTGCTGAAGATTTGTTTTACCCCGGATCTTTACAGACAGATTTGGATAATTGGAATCCAGTACAAAAGAGGAATGGACATGTCTTCAGGTTTTAGAGTCAAGCCAAAAGTTGATAGTACCGATTCATGGTTTTGCCAGATTTATTCCTCAGTTAACATACTGGCCTTGTATGTGGCGTTATTTTATATTTCATTCATACCAAGTTCTTTGATCAAACAATTAATGTAGTGATGCTTACATGTAATGGTTATGTCATTTGAAGCCTTATCAGTGGGATCAACTACAAAACTTTCATGTAGGGCAGCCAGAATTTTGATGGCAGCCGGCGGGTCAGAATATCAATTCCAATTCTGTAGTTCAGTTTGTTCAATTTACCAATGACAACGTCACGCCTTTAATTGATCCTTTGAGAAAGACATTCAACAGTTTCCTCTTCTCTTGTGGCCCATGTTTTGGCATAGGCGTCTACAACATCCATAATGATTTTAGAGTTGTGATCCCAATTGGTAGGAGGCTGCTCACGATATTTTGGTCCATATTTGAATAATTGTCGAAGGTTGTTGTTGTCAATAAAAGAGAAGTCACCTGAGATTATATGACCAACATGTTGGTAGCTGTATGATGAGTCTTCCAGTCACAAGTAGTGGAATTTACATCATCAATGATAAGTATTTACGCCGAAATGAGTATAATTAATGAATACCTTCATCAGTACCCAAGTGTATATCACGGTAGGCTAACAAAATGTATTGATATAAACATGATTAAGTGCCTGTCTTTCAGGCATGCGCAGTGGAGTCCACCCCTGTGGCAGGTTCCGGGAATCTAATGGAAATGGATATATTGTCCTTTCTCGGAGATCCAAATGTTAAAGATCTATGATAAACGCCTGCGAAGTTCTTTGCATGTACCTCGATGTAAAAGACACTATTTTCAAGAAGAAAACCCGGCTTACTGTGCAGCAAAAAGCACCATACACGATGCAAAAACACTCCCTACAGCGAAGGCGGTATGATGCAAAGAATGAACACACCACAAAGACTACCGTTATATATGAACTTCTGACATGACGTATGGCCAATATTTCGAACTTTTGAAAACTACCAAGACATACTTTTCACAATTTGTTTGTCTTCACGTACCGCTCCTTAGAAAATCAACAAAACATGTTTAATATAGGCAATGTGCTTTTTGTGAGAACCTCTCTGATAAAATCGTTCCTCGTTCCTGCCTTTAAGCTTGTTGTAAGTAATATATACTACTCAAAAGTAGTTAAAGAGCATCCGATTCTTTCATATTCTTGTCACGTCATGACAGATTAAAAATGGTAATAAGAAACTATCAGCTGTTTTTTAACTTCTTCTGAGTAGTATATGTGCTATTATTGAAATTAAAAAAATTATAGTCATTCGTATGAACATTCTGATCAGTTTCTGAAGGTTTACAATACTTCTTAAATTATGCAGCACTAGCACGCCCTCTTTGTCAAAATGATCCCGTCCATGAGAATGAGACTTAGCTTAATGGCATCAGAGCCACTAATGCGATTGTTAAAACTTCTAGAAAAATGAAAAAGGGAAGAAAACGGAGAACATTACATTCCCATTGCACACAATGAAACAGCTGTAAATTATTCACAACGCACAGACTTCGAAGTGGAGTTGTTAGCTAAGAAATAGAGCAGGTGCGTTATAGATTTCTGTGTGCCCTTATCTCCATAATCGTTATGTTTCGCATGTGTCAGTTTTGCACTACCAGACATCTATCAGATCTTTGCACATATAAAATGGATGTGTATCTCCGTGTTGTGTGCGCCGTGTCTGTGATCGACAGTCTTACATGGGGTGAGTAGCTGGTGCTTCCGGTAGAACAGGACTTGCTCACCTTCGTAACACCTGGTGTCATCACTGAATTTCAGAGATATTTTTCAGATCATTTTTATCACTTTTTTTTATCTTTTTCCATCCAATCGAATCTTTTTCAGTAGATAATCGAGACTCTTTTTATGACAATATTTACCTTTTCTCTTACATTGGAAAAGTGTTTTTAATGCTCAATATGATATTTGAAACTAACATAAGCGAACCAAATTTCGATAAAAAGACATGCCAGGTCTACCACTATAAACATGACTTTGCTATATGCTCGAATCCTTAAACTGACAGAAATGTCATTTATTTTACAAAATGAACATTGATCAAGAAACGCATAACACTCGTGAAAACCATACACTTTGGCACTTTTGGCTTTTCGTTACTATAGCATATTATTGTATACAGTAAACTACGATTATAACGAACTCAAAGGGACCACTAATTTTAGTTCGTTATAACCGTTGTTCGTTAAAGCATATATATATATATATATACAGCATATACATAGCAAATGGCTGAGACACAAAAACGGTTAGTTATATACGTCAGTTCGTTAAGAGCGTGTTCGTAATAAGCGTAGTTTACCGTAGTTATATTATTTAAGGCTACAGGACATGTCAGGCTAGAAGTATTATTTGGCATAAAATGTATTTACAGCCCATTACACACAGAGAGACATTGTCAGAAAACAATTATATAACTAATAGTGTTTTCATTCTTTCCCATTCAGCATGTTCCGAGAACCATGTGGCCGACTCGGGCACATTCACTTCCCCCAACTACCCGGCTGACTACCCCCGTAACCTGATGTGTACCTACACCTTGGCACCTGTCACCCCCGGGGCTACACTTAGACTCATCTTTGAGGACTTCCACACAGAGGAGGACCATGATGTTGTCAAGGTATTAAGTTTATGTGGTAAACGCGGGGTAAAAGGGGTGGACAGGCGGTGAAGAAGGGGATGGGAGTTCTGAAAACTCAGTCGGTCTCGAGAGGCTAAAAAATGAAAACCTGAAAAGATGAGAGGAGATCGCGTCAGGTGAATCAGCATCGAGGCTTCTAAATTCAGGGTACGAGTAAGCAAAACATTCAGGCCAGATATGTGATTTTGTTTCTCGAAAACGGACTGCAACTACAAATTCCGAATGGAGATAAATAAGGTAGCGTCATTATATTGTTATATCGGATATTAATATTGTATACACGCTATCCTTTGGAATCTAAAACCCGAAAGGGATTACCATCAAATAAGAAGGCTGGGGTCTGATTGAGTGAAGAACTTACACATCCTTCATTTAGAATGGGCTCACAGGTTTCACCTGACGCCACATACTACGGAGCTGTATGCAGATCTTGACGTAGAGAGCTTTCGCATCGGAGTTTAGATCTAATTTAAATGAGATTGTTTTTGAGAGAAAATTTAATTCTCGATGTTACGTTACGACGGCGTAGATATATATATTAGCATTATCCATAGTGAAACTGAAAAAGGTGTTAGCAATTTCATCAATGCAACGTCATATCCCTACAACAAACTAACTGTATAATAATAACAATTCTGTAAAGCCGAAGAGGAAAGTCCCATTGACACTTAAGTGAAAACAAAGTGATTTGTATATATATCGGAACAGCTATATCTTTCCATATAAAACGGCAATTTTTCTTAAATCGTATTGACATGCAGACAGAAATGTTTTGTAACTTCCATTGCAAAAGTAACTTTACAACCCTTTCAATTAAATCCCTGTATCTTTGCATCATATGCTGAGTGTTAGAGTTTGGTTTTACGCCGCTTTTAGCAATATTCCAGCAATATCACGGCGGGGGACACCAGAAATGGGCTTCACACATTGTACCCATGTCGGGAATCGAACCCGGGTCTTCGGCGCGACGAGCGAACACTTTAACCACTAGGCTACCCGACCGCTCGCATCATATGCTGAGACGCTATGTTTCCGATCATCTGGGAAAACATAGCGTTCATGTTCCAACTTACTGTACGTGTCGGTGGTATCTTAGACATAGATCAACATGACGGAAGCGTGTGGACATGTCCTAAAGATGCATGGAAGTTCTGGATGTATAAAATTAAAGAAGGGTTGTGCTACACTTATTTCCAGGTGAATATGTCAACTAAATGGGTTTGTTTTTACATTAATCTGATGGTAATTGGTACACTCTCGCAAAACTAGACACAATTTACTCTTGGCGAAGTCATTCTGCGAAAACTTGAACCTGAGGACCTATTCAGGGTTCGTGTCCTCGGATCCTTTAACTTAATGGCCTCGCCAATCCAAGTGTAATCATTTGATGGTTGTGCCGAAATTCATTTATAAAGTGCTTGATTTCACCTCAAATTCAGTTGGACTCTTTTTGGGATGGTACAAGTCAAAACAGAGAATTGCATAATTTTGGTCACTGATGCATCAAATTTAGATATGTCCTCTACATGTCTAACATAAATGTTTTGAAAGCATTGCTAAGGTTTTGATTGTTGTAACCCTCAGCAAACAACATCTGAGCAAGAATCGTATGATATTTTTGATGAAAGAAAATGCTCGATTCTACCTCAACAGTTGTAAAATGCTAGACACCAAAGGCTGGAGCTGTTGGAATATGTTGGATCATATAGGGACAGCTGACTATTGGACAGTTAAAGTCATCCCCCTTGTCATAAAGTCATATGGGTATTTATTGCTACATGAATATGAATCTTTATGCACAGATCTATATATGAAACAGATAAGGCGGTCTCATTTGTCTCTTTTATTTCTAGCTCAAGTGTGTAAATCTGTGGAATGTAAATGGCTATTTGTCCATTATTGAACGATATCAGATAATCGGTATACCTGAAGCTTAAGTTAAACGTCTTGGCAAAATTGCCTTGTTTTGATTTTGCCAATCGGAGAAGATATTCTGCATAAAGAAACAGATCAGGAAATAAGCAAATTTGGTTCCAATGAGGATGCCTGCATCTTGCAGTATGTCCTAGCCCTACAATTCACGTTCACCCGCTTTCGTCCGTTGTACTTTGTACAGAATTATTAGTGACCAGGTTTTACTCAACACCGGTCTACGAGGAAGATTAAATGCTGGCCTTTCCAGAGAATTAGACAACCCCAAAGAGTTGCCGTTGGACGCGTCTAGAGCACCGCTCGTAGTTCCTCATCATCTGAAAGCTACAACAAAGGGACACAACACTCGTATTACACCCGATAAAAAGAAAGGCTTTCTAGACATTCAACACACTGAAATAATGATACTTTTAGATAAAACACTCCGCGAAAGGAGGGGTTTCAGAGTAGTTCCGCGATGCTGTGCGTGCCGCCATGTTGGTTGTGTTCGCGTCCCTTGCAACGATAGCGTCATTAGCAGCTGACTCGCTCTATAATCGTCAACGTATATCTGCTCATATCTGTCATCTCGCAATCGTCTGTCATTGATAATAACACAAAAGTATTGGACAAAGAAGGTCGCGTAAGATATCTCGAGAAGACTGATTGATCCACAAAGAAGATCCGTACAGGATTCCGAAATTGACATGGGAGTGACGACCACAAGCATTTGGCGGCAACCATCTACATCGACATCGTTAACTATCTGGTATTCCTTTTTGCAGTTTATCAGACATCAAAAACTACATGAGTTTGGAAGCATATGATAGATTTGTGTGTAGTTGGGTACGAGACATTATGTACGTATGTGCATTTGTCCCTCCAATATGGAAAGGCCACATCGTGATGTCAATAGTAAGTATACAACAACTTACCTACATTCTATAACTGTTACTGTGTGTATATAAAGTGATAACATTCTTAATATTCAGGTTTCATTCGGAAAGGTTACGGGGATATTATAAAGGCGGTTAGACAGATCAAATAACAGCCGGTCTATGTACAATCGTTATGAGACAGAATCCAAAATGTCTTCAGAATGTCATTAAAATGATACTTACTGCAAATTACCTTTCCTATCCCACGATGAAACGTCTAGATGCTCAGTTCATATCATTGTGATGAAGTATCAGAATTAAAAATACTCTCATTTTCATTAACTTGTTGAATATGATAGTAATTTCAATCTGAAATAAAATTCACCCCTCCACTATATTTGTACAGGTAATGCATTCCCAGCGCTTGAATGAAGCCCTGGTTCATCACTGATGACACTAGCAAAGTTTTGTCAGCCCAATACAACTGTAGGGCAGGTTTTGGAGCATAGTGCACACATGTCGCAAGTATGGTGTTTTCTTTGGCAGTTATTGTTAGACTAAGGGACAGTACCACGGCCACACAGGAACCAGCCTACTGGAAACTTCCAGCTTCGATGAAAAAGGTTGACTATGTGCCTTTAAGAGATATTGAAGAAGAAACTTGACTTGTCAAGTGGTGATTCATCTGCTACATGTTCAAGTTCATCGAGTGGTAAACTTACCCATAAGTTTGAAGCTGCATCGTCACAGAAGTTTGACATCTTTCTTCGTACTAGTAATGTAGACTGACCGTCTTGTCTAGTGGTTCATAGTGATTATAGTGATCAAGATGTACCTGTAGCACTACAACCACAATTTCTACAAGTGATTGGTCTGTTTGATGAAAGTATGGTTGGCATCCCATATGATGAAGTTTTAGAACACTGTCAGAACTCACAGAAGAGGAGGTTACAGCAGTCGAAGTAGCAACAAGGAACCAAGCAGGTTTCCCACTTTGGTTTCAGTTCAGGGCTGGATGTATAACGGCATCAAAGATGAAGAGTGCAAGTCGTACATCATTGTGGACCCTTCTAGAAGTTTACTTCGCCATATCTGTTACCCTACTCAAGTCAAGTTTTCTAATCCAGCTACGACACGGGGATGCAGCCATGAGGTAACAGCAAGGGATACCTATGAGAAATTATCTTCTGAGCATCATCATAACTTCAGTGTTGAGGAATGTGGTTTATTCCTTAGCTGTGAGTATCCACATCTTGGTGCAACTCCTGATGGTATTGTTGACTGTAGCTGTTGTGGAAGGGTCTGCCTTCAGAATAAGTCTCCTTTCTGTGCAAAGTATGACTTTGTTGATAATAATATAGTTTACTAGAAGTTAATGGTATACTGCAACTGAAAAGGGGCAGTCAGTATTATTACCAGGTGCAAACACAGCTATTTGTAACTAATGATGATTATTTTGTTGACTCTGTTGTTTGGACAAATGATGAATTGTTTGAGAGGCATTTCTCGGAAGTTGACGATGACAAAGTAGACACAATTCATGGACTTCATTAGTTACTGTAAAGACGACGTCTTGATATAGATCCTGAGACCGTTGTATACCTTGATAAACGTATAATGATCTATAAAAAAATGCTCAATCACAGAAAAAATTGTGTCTACTTTGGACAAATGATGATAGGGAGGGAATTCTGGCTTCCAGTAGCTGATCAGGCGGTGCCGTTCTTTAATCTGTTATTCTACCAGAGATTGTTGCATGACACGTCTTGAACACCACACGTGAAAGGGTTGTTCCAGAAAGTGTGGGTGAAGAACTGTTTTGTACATGCAGGACACTAGATGATGAAAGCAAGTATTTTGGCTGTGATGGGAAAGAATTACAGTGAGTTGTTTCACTTCAAGTGTGTTGGGCTTGTACGAAAACCAAAAGACAAATGGTTTTGTAAAGATTGTTGTACAAATAATAAAAGAACGAAACGCAAAACAATAGTGAAGAGTGATGTGTAGATCTCAGTAACATTACCTGATCCGTTTACTTTTCATCAAGCAACTTGTTTCTGTAACGGAGCTGGCTAACCATGCCTTAATGAAACTTGTTCTAAAAATGATATTCATGTGATATTATGTTGAGCATACAATATGTACAAATTATAACTACAAAACTCACTTACCATTTTCCAGCATGCTCAGATTAGATGTATTCTTACATTTTATAGATTGTTCATTTGATCAATAACTCAAAGTCTTATGTATATAATATTTTCTGTTGATCTGCCAAGTTCTTTTAAGACATATTAACAATTGTTCTTGAAAGGTTTGCAGCTAAGTCACGGAGTGAAACGAAGGTTCAGTAATCCCATTTGAATATAATGTAATTTCTTTAACGATTAATTGATCTGATATGACTATATCATCTGGGTGAATGATGATAATACATCCATGCTGAAATTATCGATTCATATTGTTAAAACATTGTTTCGTGTGAACCACAGTGGTGTTTGACACAAAATGAACATGGTCTAGTCTGAATCAGATGTATTTCAGATGCAATACACGACAGTGGGATTTAAGTCATCACTTGGGAGCTCCACATTGAGACAGGGAGATACGTTAATACTCCACGAGAGCAGAGATTGTGCAATAGTTGAAATCAAAGATATGTCGAGAATGAATATCATTTTTTATTAATTTGTAACGCTTATGATGAACTTCGTCTTCAGTATTTACCACAGAAGTATTTTGTACATCCCACTCTTGCTAAATTCAATATGCTTATGGCGGTAAACAGTCAAACTGTTATTAGAAATGTTGCAACATGTACACGAATAAAGAATTGAAAAAGTCATCACTTAACATGTCTAGGTGGTGTATTCCTGAATCCTAAATACGAAATCATTAAACACATTTGACATTTTGTTTATGTATTTTACCGTTTGTAAGTCTAAGTAGTGAACCTTCACTCGAATGGAACAACTGATGGACACATGTTGGTAAGTGCACAGTAAACATGAGTAATCTTATCAAGTAGTGGAACAGTATCAGTATTTTTGTCATCAGGTAATCAATGGGAACGATTCTGCTCATCTTCCCGAGGCATGCGTGTCCACTAGCCTAAATCAAAGCCTAAACAAGACTTTGATAAAAAGGCTAGTGGACTCTCTTGCCTCGGGAAGATGCGTGCTGCTCAGTATCATATATTTCTGACGGACACAAGCAATCACTCTTTCTAAATGAATTCTCATTTAGGCAATTTTTCTTGTCTCCTCAACTTCAGTGTCACTTAACTACGGTTTACCTCGTGTAAAAGTTGGAATCCTTAACTCTGCTCCACCAGAACCAATAATTCAAAAGCCTCCATCTGCTAATACTATATCAGTATGTAGAAGATGGTGAGTGAAATTACTATCACGTGTCAAATACTTAGCGCTAACACGAGTTCCCATCCCTCAGACATGTAACTTGCAGGACCTTGGTGTGTGTTGCCAGTGATATATTTTACGGTATCATAATGCTTGTACGCTGACCAAGTCTGGGTTCGAGATGTCAGATTGGATGGTCTGTCAACAGAAACCTCAAACTAATCTATAATAACAGACACTGCGTCCGAAATACTTTCTGCATACAATTGACATTGTTTTTCATACATTTTCTCCATCAGGCAAGAAAACAAGTAGTTTCAAATTGATGAACAAGACACCCATAACTTGATTAAATCTCCTGGACTTTGGAGCTTTGTTGACACCAAACCTATAACATAGGTCAATAGTGGGTAAATTCATTCTGAGTCTCATTAGTGTAATAACTTTTTCAATTTTGTCAGCGATGAATGTGACGGTTGACTTGTTCCAAACGATATTTAATTGAACAATGCAAGGTGTGACACAAAGGAAGACAGGCCAGTATAATATCGTCCTTTATCTTCATCACCATCAACATCTTCATTACTATTTGCTTTCATTTTAAGAACTATTTTCTTGAGTGGAAGATTCTCAGGTTGTAAAGATCTATTTTCTAATTTAGGAATGTCAGTTTCAATATGACAACTCTTAAGTTCTAATGTATAATTTCACAGTGTCTGGTTCTGCCCCGCAACGTTCCTCCTCTTCTACATCAAACCACAGAGTCGTGTCGCCTCCTTGCGTCCCTAAATACCAAAGAACAGTATTTGTTAGCTGAATACATGCATTTTAAATAAACTGAAATAACATGTACTCTCAGAACATGACACTGATGTGTTCATAGTTTTATCTTAAACAGTGTTCAAAATTAAGCATGAAAACCAAGGAGTCCTTGCAATAAACGTAATGTAAACAACTGAAGATTGAGTGAGTACCTGTCATACCTATGGTTAGATAGCAACAATAAATTAACCTTGCAGCCCTTAATTTTCTCCCCATATGTCTTCCACCAATAGTTTACCCGTAGGCGGAAGAAACCAGAACGTTTGACGTCTTTGTAGCCCTTGTCATAGCCAAGTTTTAAACCGGGTATCCAACAAGGATGAGTGTCCTGATACACGGCTGATAGAGAACCTGGAGAGGATAATGTATTTATTCATATTAACTATCACTTATTACTTGGTTATACTCTTGGCGTCATTATGGAAGGGTCACCTAGGTATGTAGGGTGTCACACTTGAACATATGCCAACAAGCGTCAATAGGTGGTATGTTGACGATGTGATTAACAGTTGAAGAACATGATGTTTGTGTCACACTGATTGAATGCTTTTATGAAACTGGAAAAATGAACAACGACTACCATCACAGTAACACAGTTAATTGTATGGAGGACATGTTTAACATTGTTTACATATATCAACGACAACATTTAGCCCTGATGGCCTGGTTGAAATATTGACAATATGACCACTGATCACCGAGAATAGTTATTATATTGTCGCCTTACAATGATAATGCAAAGGTAATAAAAAAACTTATTAATGTTTAATTTGATAGTTTGACCCCAAAACAGATGTAAATAAAAAGAAGACTTACATTGTGAAACTATGATCGCGGAGAAAAGCGTTTGATATCTTTGGTTGTGTTAAACCCGTTCTACTGTCTCCTTGACAGTGTCTAAACGGTCTTAAAAGTATTTCATGCGAAATAGAAATGACATATATCCAGTTCGAGATTGAATAAATCCGGACGATTGGCTCTACAGACGCGTATAGGACAACTCACACCAGCACATCAGTAGAAATACGAAGGCGTATTAGACCCCTTCACATAAACTCTTCGATTTTACTTCCAGATTTACGACGCAAACGACAAGTTATTGAAGATAAAAAGCGGTGGACGTTACAAGTGGGTTGTTATCGCAACACTGAGCTATTACAAGGTCGTGTTTTCGTCTGACAATACCAACGCTTTCCTTGGCTTCAATGCAAGTTGGTCTGGTAAGAAACCCGCTATGCGAACACCGTATCGCATGGGTGGTTTAGAGTTGCGTCCCATAGCCGTACCAGGATCCGCTGCTTGTTAAAAGTAGGTTTCACCAAAGCGGCCACTTTAGGGTTTCCTCCCACACAACACTTTAGTCGGCCTCCTTTAGCTGTGATTCAGGGGGAATTTAAGACAGGTGGATTACCTGGGCACGTACTAATGACGGGGGACTGGTTATATTCTTGGCGTCATTATGGAAGGGTCACCTAGGTATGTAGGGTGTCACACTTGAACATTTGCCAACAAGCGTCAATAGGTCGTATGTTGACGATGTGATTAACAGTTGAAGAACAAGATGTTTGTGTCACATTTGATTGAATGCTTTTATGAAACTGGAAAAATGGACAACAACTATTACAAACACATCTTTCCGAGGCAAGGGAGTTAAATGACTGTATAAGTCCAGTTTCCACCCTTGTGGGAATTTGGTGACTATTTCCCTATTTATGCCCCTCCTACTGAGCAACCAGATTCAACCCCTCGTATCTCTTGCATTTGCTTCAAACAAAATCGCGGCGCCCAGTTATGAAGATCTGATCGATAATCAATATCTATACGGCATTAAAACTGGTCTTCACTCGCTAAGTGCATCAAACCACTTGTGCACGTTCAATAAAAACATGAAAACATTTTGGAAATATTTGTTGTTGATGGTACACATACTTGTCCAATCCTTCACTCGATCAAAATCTACACGGCAGTTACCATATTGTTTACAAACCGCGTGTCGATTTAATTACGCGAGGGGGCACGGGTGGCCCAGTCGTCTAAGGCACCGCAATTCGCTGTGCAGAGTTGCGTCCCTTGGGCACGCCAGAAACCTATGTTTGTTGGTTCGAATCCCGGTTCGCCCCGATTATGTTTCTAGGTTTGTCAGCACCATACCCGTGCTCGTGGGTTTCACCGAAGTGGTAAACGTCCAAGACCTGCATCACTTCAGGCTTTCCTCCCATATTAAGCTGACACGCCGTGATATAACTGGAATACTGTTAAAAGCGGCGTTAAACCAAACTCACTCACTCACTCACTAATTACGCGATTTTATATTCGACTACACCTAGACTCGTTAGGCCAGCCAAAATAATACTCAGAAATGCCATCCCAGTTCAACAAGGGTGGACTTTTTAGAGTCAGTTAACGCCCTTGCCCCGGGAAGATGTCATAAACAATAAATGTGCAAGATTGTATGTGAAAAGGCTATACAAAACATATCGACGTCAGTAGCGCTGTACGTAATCAACACCGACTGAAATAAAACAAACTGTGTAGATGTATTATTTAAAGGAGTTGGTTGGGTTTGGAGGTGGGGGCATTAGAGTATGACATGTTTGTGATCCGGTTAACCGAAATACTTCCTCGATCGCCGACAAAGAGGACCAACGCCGCTCTCTGCACGTTCACGGGTAATTCAAGGGTCAAAACCACTTCCACATCGGTCATGCTCTAAGACCTAATCTGGCCACTTGTTTTATAAGGGAAGTAATGTTTAAAGGGGCGTCCTACTCCAACACATCACTAGCAGTATAAACCAGGATAATGTTTTGGTGTTATCAGTGGCCTCATCTGTGTGTTGATGTCAAGGATGCTATTCAATGTCTAACAAGTCTATTTCCCTACAGGGAGATAGTGGAATGTTGGTTTCAAATGAGTGAGCATCAGTGAGTTAATACTTATTATCACATCGGCATTATTTCACCCATATAGCCACGACTGTAAGTATGAAAATAGTTGACCCTAAACCGTTTTAGAAAAATATGAACTTTCTGAACAATGAAGTAAGTGAGTGAGTTTGGTTTAACGCTGCTTTGAACAATATTCCAGTATACAATATTCCAGTTATATCACGGCGTGTCAGCTCGATGTGTGAGGAACGTAATGCAGGTCTCAGATCACCTTGGTTAAAACCACGATCACTGGTATGGTGCTGACAAACCTAGAAACATAATAGTGTCGAACCCACGATCATAGGTTTCTGACGTGCCACTCAGGACAGCGAACTGCGGCGCCTTAGACACTGGACCCCTTGAACAATGAAAATGCTGGTGATTTTATTACACTGAAAAGAATTAATTTTCACGGTGGGGTAGCCGAGTGGTTAAAGCGTTCGCTCGGCACGCCGAAGACCCGGTTTTATTCCCGAACTGGGTACAATGTGTGAAACCCATTTCTGGTGTCCCACGCCGTGATATCACCACCAATATTGCTAAAGCGGCATTAGATAATACCCACGAACTTACATATTTTGGATTGGATAAGAACACCCATTTTAGGGAAAAGGATAAAATGTGTCAGAAAGGCATGTTGTGGGTTCAACAGAAATCATTTTGTAACATTTAAACATGAGCACTCCTTTGACTCAAGCTGGGTTTCTTTTAACTGGGCACGTGTAAACAAAGACCGTCCAAACCGTCCAAACACTCCCCCCCTTTGACAAAAAGTGCCCTAGAAACTCACATAAACATATCTAATAACTTTAATAACAATATTTTAATTTTAAGAGATTTGAACCTTACCACTGACTCATATGATTGACGTACAATTATCGTCAAATATGTGATGGTTCCTTCGTTGACATTGATCTTTGAATCTTTCAGTTGCCCCCTCGTCGAAGGCACTTGACTACCAGGTTGCCATGGCAACGACATGCCCGGTTCAAGGACTCTTTCAACCAATTCCAGAGATAAACGGAATCAGAAAGTTGGAAATTATGGCATCTATGACTTTCCATAAATGTATGTTGCTGTGCCAGGTGTTGACGGAATGCTCCTATTTTAAGTTATATGCCACCAGCGGTAACTGTTACCTGTATGAAGAGGAGGACGGCTACGTGTTGATGTATGACGCCACATACAAGAAAGTTACCAACCCTTAGTCAGGGGCGAGCCATTGTGGCGATCACATTGGAGTATGTGAGTGAGTGAGTATAGTTTTACGCCGCTTCTAGCAATATTCCAGCAATATCACGGCGGGGGACACCAGAAATGGGCTTCACACATTGTACCCATGTCGGGAATCGAACCCGGGTCTTCAGCGTGACGAGCGAACGCTTTAACCACTAGGCTACCCGACCGCCCGATCACATTGGAAACATATTCAGTTTTTGCCACTCATGAGTGAGTAAGTGAATGTCGTTTTATGCTGTTGCGGTCGGGTAGCCTAGTGGTTAAAGCGTTCGCTCATCATGCTGAAGACCCGGGTTCTATTCCCAACATGGGTACAATGTGTTAAGTCCATTTCTGGTATCCCCGCCGTGATATTGCTTGGATATGACTAAAAGCGGCGTAAAAGCATACTATTTATGCTGCAGTCAAAACATTTTCACGACCGAAGAGCCATCTGTAGTTGACCAGGAAAAAGTATTGGCTCGGTAAATAAGTGGTTGACGGCATGAACATCGATCCATTCCGTAAACAAGGGTTTGAAACTTTCAATATTTAGTCGGGGGGAACAAAATGTTAAAGACACTATAAATAAAGAAAGGCACCAACGAATGAACAAAAATACCTTTCATTTCTTCATTCAAAGCCACATGAATCCAAGGCGACGGTGGGGTAGCCCAGTGGTTAAAGTGTTCGCTCGTCACGCCGAAGGCCTAGGTTCCATTCCCCAAATGGGCCCATTTCTGATGATCCAGTCGTGATATTGCTGGAATATTGATAAAGGCGGGGTAAAACCATATTCACTCACTCACTCACTATGAATCGAGCAGGTGATTGCAACAACCCAACTTTCGTTTTAGTCCTCTCTTGCGATCTACATGGGAGGGTGGCAGTATAGTCCCACTGTGAGAGATTAAATAGGGACAATAATATGTGATTTATGATAATGCTGTTGTTTGTTATTCAGTATATCTGCGGTCGTTATTAGTGTATAGCACGTGCAAAATGACATCAGCACCTCGTCAAATCCATGTTTTGTTTGTTTGTTGTTTGTTGTTTAACGCCGCACTCATCAATATTTCTGCTATATGACGGCGGTCTGTAAGTTATCAAGTCTTAAAAAGGCAATCCAGTGATTGACATCATGAGCATCGATCCACGCAAATGTGACACGATGACATGCATTGACCAAGTTAGGGAGCCTGACAACCCGATCCCGTTAGACGCCTCTTACGACAAGCATAGTCGCATTTTACGGCAAGCATGGGTTGCTGAAGACCTATTCTACCCCGGATCTTCGCGGGTGTCATCTGCATGGTCGGGCCCACAAAAAAACCCACAACGTGTTATCCCTTGTTTAGGTCATCAGTTATAGTTTAAGTTGCATTGTCTTAAATGGTAGTTCGAGTTGACTGAGTTCGAGATATTTATCTATATCACTATATTTCGCTTTACTTATTATAGAAATTTTATCAAGTTATAACTAATTCGTTATTGACCCGTTTTATCAATTCTGTCATATTTATATTTTTAATCAGACATAATGTTAGCGATGCATGTATTTAATGGAGTCTATAAAGTTGTAATATTGCTGCGTAAAACTACGATCACTAACTCGAATACAGTAGAACATGGATATAACGAACGGCAAAGGACCAGAAAAATCAGTTCTTTATATCCGTTGTTCGTTATATACGTTTTCGCTCGGAAACGTCCGCCATCTTCGACAAACAAAACACAATACACGTAATTGCAGCAATGACTTGTACAGGAGATAAATCGGGGATTTTTTTTAACAGTTCGTTGTATCCGTTTGTTCGCTATATCCGTGTTCTACTGTATATGAAAATTGTCTCCCGAATGGATTCCCAAGTTGGATTATAACAGCTGTAAGGAGCTTCCTTGCTTTGTGCCTGTTATGAGGACATCAGCTACAAGTTCAGCAAGAAAAAGCTAAGAAATCGATGCTGCGCAATAACATAAATAAAATGTATAATCATTAACATTTCGTTTTTTATAAATAAATCTTGTTTGAAGAGGTTTGTGGATATCCATTGTTATAACTTTATTTAAGAACTGACTTTAGGTCTTATGAATAAATACGCCAAAAGTAATAACTTCACAGACTGCTTATTTAATCATTAACACATAAACATTGTCAACAACAAAACGAAATCCATGTTGGAGCTATCTTCCCGAGGCAAGCTTGTCCACTAGCTTATACAAGTTGACTTTGATCCAGGGGATCAACACAGCTCAAAGAGATGTTGAAGCAGACCTACCTATTGATGCAAGTACCTACACTGTCATCACCCAGAAGATGGGACAAATTGTAATCTGCATTTGGCACCCGCAGAATCAGGAATAAGAATATGGCACATTTCAGTTTAAATATTTATGTAATATAAAAGTAGGAAACAAACATATTATGAAAACAAAACGAGTAATATGTTTTCACAACAATGGCTTCCTGAAACTTTTGTTGTTTTCAAGGTACATTGGGTATTAAGTTGACATAATCATAGCGATATATAAGATACCGTTGACAATGATAGATCAACAGTGGTAAAGCTATGAACACACAATGCCATTTAGAAATTGGTCAAATGTAACAAATGTTATATTTGGCATAACACTTTCTTGTTCTTGGTAAAGTACAGATTCTCGTACTTTTTTGGGCTGAGTGCCGTCCGGGATTCCACACTTTAGTGTTAAGTAATTCATATTTTTTCATAATTAATCTTTTCAGAGTAAGAGAGCCAAAGTTTTAATATTAGTTTATAATGAAGTAAATCAACACATAAAGATTGACATGCAATTATTGTTAAAATTGAAACTCACAACGTTGCGAGTGTGTCTGTTGTTTTTCACCATGAACCATACTTGTCTATGAGAGTTACCTCCCTAATGGTAATGTCTGCTCCTGTAGCCTGACGCGTCAATTATTCACACTGTCCAAAAGTGCTAATATCTCGCCTCACGGAAACTGGCCCAACGTTTTCCGCATAGCGATATGCTATAGGTCTATTCCTGACCCACTCGACAGGCAGACCTCGCTACACGGACATGGGTCAACGTTTCCCGCAAAGCCATACACTGTAGGCCTGTCTCCTTCCCTCTCGAAAGAGAAGCCCGCTTCATGGAATTTGGTCAACGTTTCACCGCAGCGAAATACTGTATGGGCAAACAGGGCGGATAGAGCTAGAGTGGTACCCTGCCCCTCGCAGGCGAGAAACGCAAGCGCTCTAGGGCAGGTAAACCAGTCTAGGTAAGAGCGTGGCGCCGGTATGATTGTTACCGAATAACATAAAACATGTTTAGAGTAATAATTTACAGTCAAAATATTTTATATGATCATTTATGTACTTAGTATGTACGGCTTGGCTGCGTGCAATCAAAGTCTAGTTTCTACGAGACTATCATAAATAGGCTAGTGGACGCTTGTAAGGGAACATGAACCAATGTGAACTGCGGTCAGCAGGTTGTCGTCAGAAGTGCACAATTGTGGGCGACCTCGTAAGGAGTGTTACAGACCCCCACATCCCCCAGAAGATGCTAAGTTCATCAGCAAATATTAAGAAGAGAGCAACACGAATGCATGAACTGTACAATCAAGCACCAGTAGATTGGAGCTATGGACTCCTGCTCTGATGTTCCCGTGCTGAGGCCTTCAACGAATACATTGTCTGGACTGTATAGCCAGATGTCCACTTCACCTGTTGGACCATCACCAGATACATGGGCAGCACACAAACAACAATCTTAAAGGATACTGAACCTACTCTTATCACTTCACATCATCATCCCAGCATCTGCAGATGCATGGCCATCAAGCAGATCGAGGCTGCAGACACGGCGACATTGGTACAACTCGACAGCAACCCCCATCCTACTGAGGCAAGAGCGTCTACTAACCTATTTACCAATATCTCGTTGCCACCCTTGCCACATCAAGCCCACTTTCCTGTGCTAAATATGATTGGGAACGTTTCACAAAATAAACCTCAGGGTTCAGAAAACATGGCCGCTGCCATAGCTTGTCGAAATACTTTCAACAATTATTTTCTAAGTATTTCTTAGTTTGAAATCAAGTCGCCCAAGTAATTATAAAAAAAATTCCATACACGTTTTCTCCAACACAACAGAACTGCAAGACTTGTCAGTGTACATATGTACCCTGTTCCTTTTTTCGGAAGATAACATTATCTGATAAATGTATGGCTACCTCACCAACTGTGCCACCCAGCTTTTTTATACTCGTAAGATTAAACAAATATCTCATGTGCAGTTACAAAAATTGAATTTATCATACAGTTATATTTTTTAAACAAAACGCTAAATACCACAGAGCAATGAGTTTTGTTAATGTAAATGTTATTGATCTTAGCTATTTATTTATTACCCATGGAATACCAAAAGTAAGTAAAGACATCAAAGAGTTTCTTCTTCACATAATTGATGTTGAGATGAAAGATAATAATTGAAGATTGATCAGTTACGCTTTGCTGATGCATTGATCAAGTTTTAGTGCCCATACTTCTGGAAAAATAACTACATCATATAAAATTATAACTGAAAATGTTAAAAGCTGTTAACAGATGTAAATAATAGGGACCACCCATCTCCACCCCACCCAACCAGTTTTTTTAAGATGAAACAAATGGCTAATACCCAAACACTTATGTTTTTTATATATATATGTGTGATTTTACATTTTTATGATACACTCCTCGAAAGTAGTCTAAAAGGGAGAGTACAGAGAAAATCATTGATTGTGATTTTGTTGCGATATAGATTTTCCAGAAATCGATAGATTAATTCAATGACCATATTCAAAAACATGGGGCTTGGAAATTAACACACAAAAATCGAACATTGTTGTGTTTAGAAAAGATGAGCGAGTACAGGCAATGGAGTGTTCTTTTGACAATACAGTAAACTACGTTTATAACGAACACGCTTATAACGAACTGACCGATATAACGAACTTATTTTTTAGTCCCGGCCATTTGTTGTATATATACTGTATATATGCTTATAACGAACTACGGTTATTACGAACTAAAATTAGTGGTCCCTTTGAGTTCGTTATAACCGTAGTTTACTGTACAAGGTTTGATCTCGTTGATAGTTTTACATAATTTCGGGTAAGAGGCGACTATCGGGATCGGGTGGTCAGGATTGCTGACTTGGTTGATGCATGTCATCGTATCCCAATTGCGTTGATCGATGCTCATGATGTCAATCACTGGATTGTCTGGTCCGCACTCGAGTATGTACAGACCGCCTTCAAATAGCTGGAGTACATGTATTGCTGAGTGCGGCGTTATACAACACACAAACAAAGAACACATAATTTTGGATTATGTTTCATTAAAATATCAAGTCTGCTATTACTGAAAAGTACTTACAGTAAACTACGGTTATAGCGAACTCAAAGGGACCACAAATTCTAGTTCGTTATAACCGTAATTCGTTATAAGCATATGTACAGCAGAGATACAGCAAATGGCAGGGGGCCTAAAAATCAGTTCGATATATCCACCAGTTCGTTATAAGCGTGTTCGGTATAACCGTAGTTTACTGTATCTGAACAAGGCCGTACGGTAACATATCCTTCGTGTCATACCACCAAGTCTCTTTGTCTCAGTACCGAGACACTACTGTCAATGTTCGATAGTTGTGCGGATAGCGTTTTATGATATCACGATAAACTTAAATGTTTAAGGGTTAATGTGGAATTGAGAATTGAGTAGACAACTGAAAGAATCTTCAGTGATGTTACAACTCCTTGGCATGGTTTGTGGACAAGGTAATCAAACTGGCGAGGAGACAGAAGAGCAGAAAAGCACCGTGAATGGGATTAAAAAATCCGACGTGGAAGCGGACAGACAAGGCGCCGACCGATCGCTGAAATTGCACAGCGCGACAAACTATGGGCGGCCATTCGGTCAAAAAATACAAAGTTTAAAAAAAGGACAAAAATATGCAATTAAGGTCAAATATTACGAATAAAGAACTAAATGTTACTACTAATAATCTGCTACCGTTTTTCAAATTTGATATTTCATCGGGCAAATCGATGAATCGGTCATGGATTGTTAAACACATATATGTAATCAATAAGCTTTTAATGATAAGTAAGAAGCATTGACAACCTATATGAAATCAGCTGTCATAAGTGCTGACTCTTCCGCTTTCCTGGCTCAACGAGTTATCTGCACTCTAAGGGCGTTATGGTAGAGAACAATGGTAGAGAAGAATGCCACCTTACACAGCATCTGTGTACGAATACTGTTATTGAACACCTGCTTTGTGTCATCAACATGAGCACGGGGAGGTCGGGTAGCCTAGTGGTTCAAGCGTTTGCTCGTCACGCCGAACACCCGGGTTCGATCCCCAACATGGGTACAATGTGTTAAGCCAATTTCTGGTGTCCCCCGCCGTAATATTGCTGGAATATTGCTAAACGCGGCGTAAAACCATACTCACTCACATGAAGATCGGATTAAGGGGAAATTCATAGTTTTTACCCTATAACATATTGAAAATGATTTTTAGTAGCCAGTGAGTTTAAAAAATAATTTATTGTTTAAAATAAATATAATTTAAGGAGAAAAGTGTGCGTTGGGCGGTTGTAAAAAATGGTAATGTGTGCCATCGTGATTCAAATTAATAGCGAGGGCACGGGTGGCCCAGTCGTCTAAGGCGCTGCGATTCGCTGTGCAGAGTTGCGTCCCTTGGGCACACCAGAAACCTATGATTGTGGGTTCGAATCCCGGTTCGCCCCAGTCATGTTTCTAGGTTTGTCAGCACCATACCCGTGCTCATGGGTTTCACCGAAGTGGTAAACGTCTTAGACCTGCATCACTTCGGGCTTTCCTCCCACATTAAGCTGACACGCCGTGATATAACTGGAATAATGTTAAAAGCGGCGTTAAACCCAACTCACTTACTCACTCACTCACTCAAATTAATAGCGATGACGACATAGCACTTTGAAGGGATATAATTATTATTTCCGCAGTTGAGGGATTCGTGCGTCTACCATAAAAGGTGAACGTGTTCACTTTTCAATCGGCGTTTAAGAAAGGAAAAGCGAAACAAGACATTAACAAAGGGACTTCTTCTGACACACTACGTGTTAATGAGGTTAAGGAAATTGTAAATTCTTTGTAAACAATAAATCTATTGAATTGTAGAAACAAACTACTCACAAAACACATATGGGAATTCGCTGTGGTCCACGGAGAGTGATTGGAGTGCATTTGTACTCTGCGATGTATCTTTTTTGGAGTGTACACTGGTATATTCAATGCATTCTTGCTGCTGTGTCTTTATATCATTACATTAGAAATGAAAGCGAACTTCAGGTGTCGGGTTACACCTGCAGAGCAGGTGAGGAGAACGCTTGTCAGCCGTTTGATGGTTGAATGATTAGTACTAGAAATGAACGAATGAATAATACATTTGGCAGTGTTTGCAATATACTTTAAATGTGAAAGGAAGGCTAAAGGGTAATATGCATGGTAAAAATCGTAAACGCGCCCTTAACCCGATCTAACCTCAGTTACATATACTTTCATACACAAATCATCATCAGGCATTACCCCGTTGGGATTCCGGGATTATCAGGGTCCCCGGTAGAAACCATTCGTGAGCAACTCGTGACCAACTCGTGTTATCCCGGACAAGCCAAATAGTGACTCGTGCCCCTCTCGTGGCCATTTTGGCGACTGGGTTCCGTCTAAGCACAAACGGGCATAGTTGAAAGAATTGTCGACTCGTTGCGTAATGATTCACCAATATTTCCGCCATGTCAGATATATTCCAGATGCTATTAAAACACACTGGGACTTTCGGTATTTATACAGTATATATATTTATACATTTTACTGTATCTGGGGTATATTTTTTTTATCTGGGGTAATATTTTGCAAGACATGTGTGCAATAATAAATTATTCCCGAAGGATTCTCTGACCGAAGTATATTCTGACTGGTTTGTCGTATTTTCGCACATAACATTCACCGATAGGTTACGGAAAGGGGCGATTGGTGACGGGTGCGGTAGAAGCATCTCTATTTTTTTTATGAATCGACTAGCGAGGGTCGGGTACTTACAACACGTCTGATTGTGTGTTGGCGTGGGTCGCTCCTCAGGACATCACTCGTTTGCTGCAAAAGGGAGCTAGTGTTGGACTTGCCATGGTATGCATCTTGAGGTGTTAGTGAGTGAGTAGAGTTTATGCCGTCGTTAGCAGCGAGCGAAGGCGTGGCGATGGACACAGATATTGTTGTACCCACGTTGGGAATGGAACTGAATCTTGGCGTTAACAGCTTGAACATTGAAACAATGGTTTTGGGGACTCACAATGCGATTTCAGGTTCGTTTAAAACCGGAGGATAAATTGATTTAAACAGTATTTTCGAGAACCGATTACTGGCTTTTTCAAAATATCACATATCGAGTATCAAATTTCAAATATCTCACGACAACAGGACATGATTTTCCAGCAACCAGTGGAACCATACATGAATACTTTTACACCACTCTCTTACGTATGGTACTCTTCGAGGTTATCCATATTTCAATTCAATTATAAAAAAACCCACAAACCAACGTTTGTAAAAAATCATTTTCCACCTACTTGAATTACGTTGTACTCTGGGTGGTAACACACACAAAAATGTAAGAATAAAGTCTTATGTCTAAACAACACTTATTAATGATTAAGATCTCATGGCCCAAACTCAAGACAAAAGGTTTAACGTCGGCTGTTATTTCCGCCTGACATGACGAACAGACAAGGAGCTTCATAATATAATTGCTTCTACGAGTAGGAGAAATCGTTCACAATGATTGCAGTGTACATTAACCAAATTAAACATCTTCACTTTCATTACGCACTTTACCCATTGTACTGTGAAGGGTCTGATAAACATTCTGTTTTCCTAACAACGAGTTCACTTTGCATAAATGTGTCACGTGACAACAATGCACCGCTCCATTTCAAGTTACTGTTTTCCGTCTTCTGAAAATACGAACTATGCAAGACTGATATACCGAATCATTTGTGTACACTTGAATGAATCACACTAACAACATCAACGACACTGGTATTCTCTCAACATTGATGCAAGATTTTTTTGAAGATCTAGCCAACTGTCCTAGATGTGATTAATGTGACCACTTGTTGGATAATGGACGTATATCAGTGTGTGTTCTGCTTTCATACTTTGTCTGTACTCTACAGATCTACATGGGGTAAGTGAGGGTGTGCACCAATCGGGGATGTTGGCGGGTGTTGTAGTGTAGGGGGTGTTGTGTTGTAGGGGGTGTTGGTGGGTGTTGTAGTGTAGGGGGTGTTGTATTGTAGGGGGTGTTGTATTGTAGGGGATGTTGGCGGATGTTGAAGTGTAGGGGGTGTTGTATTGTAGGGGGTTGTGGTGGGTGTTGTAGTTAAGGGGGTGTTGTATTGTAGGGGGTGTTGGTGGGTGTTGTAGTATAGGGGGTGTTGTATTGTAGGGGGTGTTGGTGGGTATTGTAGGGGGTGTTGTATTGTAGGGGATGTTGGCGGATGTTGTAGTGTAGGGGGTGTTGTATTGTAGGGGGTTGTGGTGGGTGTTGTAGTAAAGGGGGTGTTGTATTGTAGGGGGTGTTGGTGGGTGTTGTAGTATAGGGGGTGTTGTGTTGTAGGGGGTGTTGGTGGGTGTTGTTGTATAGGGGGTGTTGTGTTGTAGGGGGTGTTGGTGGGTGTTGTAGTGTAGGGGGTGTTGTATTGTAGGGGGTGTTGTATTGTAGGGGATGTTGGCGGATGTTGTAGTGTAGGGGGTGTTGTATTGTAGGGGGTGTTGGTGGGTGTTGTAGTATAGGGGGTGTTGTGTTGTAGGGGGTGTTGGTGGGTGTTGTTGTATAGGGGGTGTTGTGTTGTAGGGGGTGTTGGTGGGTGTTGTAGTGTAGGGGGTGTTGTATTGTAGGGGGTGTTGTATTGTAGGGGATGTTGGCGGATGTTGTAGTGTAGGGGGTGTTGTATTGTAGGGGGTTGTGGTGGGTGTTGTAGTGTAGGGGGTGTTGTATTGTAGGGGGTGTTGGTGGGTGTTGTAGTATAGGGGGTGTTGTGTTGTAGGGGGTGTTGGTGGGTGTTGTAGTATAGGAGGTGTTGTGTTGTAGGGGGTGTTGGTGGGTGTTGTAGTGTAGGGGGTGTTGTATTGTAGGGGGTGTTGGTGGGTGTTGTAGTATAGGGGGTGTTGTATTGTAGGGGGTGTTGGTGGGTGTTGTAGTGTAGAGGGTGTTGTATTGTAGGGGTTGTTGTGGGTGTTGTAGTGTAGGGGGTGTTGTATTGTAGGGGGTGTTGTGGGTGTTCTAGTATAGGGGGTTGTATTGTAGGGGGTTGTGGTGGGTGTTGTAGTGTAGGGGGTGTTGTATTGTAGGGTTTGTGGTGGGTGTTGTAGTGTAGGGGGTGTTGTATTGTAGGGGGTGTTGGCAGGTGTTGTAGTGTAGGGGGTGTTGTATTGTAGGGGGTTGTGGTGGGTGTTGTAGTATAGGGGGTGTTGTATTGTAGGGGGTTGTGGTGGGTGTTGTAGTATAGGGGGTGTTGTATTGTAGGGGGTGTTGGCGGGTGTTGTAGTATAGGGGGTGTTGTACTGTAGGGGGTGTTGTATTGTAGGGTGTTGTAGTGGGTGTTGTAGTGTAGTGGATGTTGGTGGGTGTTGTAGTGTAGGGGGTGTTGTATTGTAGGGGGTTGTGGTGGGTGTTGTAGTGTAGTGGATGTTGGTGGGTGTTGTAGTATAGGGGGTGTTGTATTGTAGCGGGTTGTGGTGGGTGTTGTAGTGTAGGGGGTGTTGTATTGTAGGGGGTGTTGGCAGGTGTTGTAGTGTAGGGGGTGTTGTATTGTAGGGGGTTGTGGTGGGTGTTGTAGTATAGGGGGTGTTGTATTGTAGGGGGTTGTGGTGGGTGTTGTAGTATAGGGGGTGTTGTATTGTAGGGGGTGTTGGCGGGTGTTGTAGTATAGGGGGTGTTGTATTGTAGGGGGTGTTGTATTGTAGGGTGTTGTAGTGGGTGTTGTAGTGTAGTGGATGTTGGTGGGTGTTGTAGTGTAGGGGGTGTTGTATTGTAGGGGGTTGTGGTGGGTGTTGTAGTGTAGTGGACGTTGGTGGGTGTTGTAGTATAGGGGGTGTTGTATTGTAGCGGGTTGTGGTGGGTGTTGTAGTAAAGGGGGTATTGTATTGTAGGGGTTTGTGGTGGGTGTTTTAGTGTAGGGGGTGTTGTATTGTAGGGGGTTGTGGTGGGTGTTGTAGTATAGGGGGTGTTGTATTGTAGGGGGTTGTGGTGGGTGTTGTTGTGTAGGGGGTGTTGTATTGTAGGGGTTTGTGGTGGGTGTTGTAGTATAGGGGGTGTTGTATTGTAGGGGGTTGTTGTGGGTGTTGTAGTGTAGGGGGTGTTGTATTGTAGGGGGTTTGTGGTGGAGGTTGTAGTGTAGGGGGTGTTGTACTGTAGGGGATGTTGGTGGGTGTTGTAGTGTAGGGGGTGTTGTATTGTAGGGGTTTGTGGTGGGTGTTGTAGTGTAGGGGTTTGTGGTGGGTGTTGTAGTGTAGGGGGTGTTGTATTGTAGGGGATTGTGGTGGGTGTTGTAGTGTAGGGGGTGTTGTATTGTAGGGGGTTGTGGTGGGTGTTGTAGTGTAGGGGCTGTTGTATTGTAGGGGGTTGTGGTGGGTGTTGTAGTGTAGGGGGTGTTGTATTGTAGCGGGTTGTGGTGGGTGTTGTAGTATAGGGGGTGTTGTATTGTAGGGGGTTCTGGTGGGTGTTGTATTGTAGGGGGTTGTGGTGGGTGTTGGAGTGTAGGGGCTGTTGTATTGTAGGGGGTTGTGGTGGGTGTTGTAGTATAGGGGGTGTTGTATTGTAGCGGGTTGTGGTGGGTGTTGTAGTATAGGGGGTGTTGTATTGTAGGGGGTTGTGGTGGGTGGTGTAGTGTAGGGGTTGTTGTATTGTAGGGGTTTGTTGTGGGTGTTGTAGTATAGGGGGTGTTGTATTGTAGGGGGTTGTGGTGGGTGTTGTATTGTAGGGGGTGTTGTATTGTAGGGGATGTTGGTGGGTGTTTTAGTGTAGGGGGTGTTGTATTGTAGGGGGTTGTGGTGGGTGTTGTAGTATAGGGGGTGTTGTATTGTAGGGGGTGTTGGTGGGTGTTGTAGTATAGGGGGTGTTGTATTGTAGGGGGTGTTGGTGGGTGTTGTATTGTAGGGGGTGTTGGTGGGTGTTGTAGCATAGGGGTGTTGTATTGTAGGTGGTTGTGGTGGGTGTTGTAGTATAGGGGGTGTTGTATTGTAGGGGGTTGTGGTGTGTGTTGTATTGTAGGGGGTGTTGGTGGGTGTTGTAGTATAGGGGGTGTTGTATTGTAGGGGTTTGTGGTGGGTGTTGTAGTAAAGGGGGTGTTGTATTGTAGGGGGTGTTGGCGGGTGTTGTAGTGCAGGGGGTGTTGTATTGTAGGGGGTGTTGGTGGGTGTTGCAGTATAGGGGGTGTTGTATTGTAGGGGGTGTTGGTGGGTGTTGTAGTATAGGGGGTGTTGTATTGTAGGGGGTGTTGGTTGGTTTTGAATTGTAGAGGCTGTTTGTTGGTGGTGTATTGTAGGGGGTGTTGGTGGGTGTTGTAGTATAGGGGATGTCGTATTGTAGGGGTTTGTGGTGGGTGTTGTAGTAAAGGGGATGTTGTATTGTAGGGGGTGTTGGCGGGTGTTGTAGTGTAGGGGGTGTTGTATTGTAGGGGGTGTTGGTGGGTGGTGTAGTATAGGGGGTGTTGGTTGGTTTTGTATTGTAGAGGCTGTTTGTGGGTGTTGTATTGTAGGGGGTGTTGGTTGGTTTTGTATTGTAGAGGCTGTTTGTGGGTGGTGTATTGTAGGGGGTGTTGGTGGGTGTTGTAGTATAGGGTGTGTTGTATTGTAGGGTGTGTTGGTTGGTTTTGTATTGTAGAGGTTGTTTGTGGGTGGTGTATTGTAGGGGGTGTTGGTGGGTGTTGTAGTATAGGGTGTGTTGTATTGTAGGGGGTGTTGGTTGGTTTTGTATTGTAGAGGCTGTTTGTGGGTGGTGTATTGTAGGGGGTGTTTGTGGGTGGTGTAGTATAGGGGGTGTTGTATTGTAGGGGGTGTTGGTGGGTGGTGTAGTATAGGGGGTGTTGTATTGTAGGGGGTGTTGGTTGGTTTTGTATTGTAAAGGCTGTTTGTGGGTGGTGTATTGTAGGGGGTGTTGGTGGGTGATGTATTGTCGGGGGTGTTTATGGGTTATGTATTGTAGGGGGTGTTGGTGGGTGGCGTATTGTAGGGGGTGTTGGTGGGTGGTGTATTGTAGGGGGTGTTGGTGTGGCATGAATTGTAGAATGTGTTGGTGGGTGGTGTTTTGTAGGGGGTGTTGGCTGTTGGTGAGTGGTGTATTGTAGGGGTGTTGGTGGGTGATGTATTGTAGGGATGTTGGTAAGGTATGTATTGTAGGGGTGTGGGTAAGGCATGTATTGTAGGGGTGTTGGTAAGGCATGTATTGTAGGGGTGTTGGTAAGGCATGTATTGTAGGGGTGTTGGTAAGGCATGTATTGTAGGGGTACTGGTAAGGCATGTCTTGTAGGGGTGTGGGTAAGGCATGTATTGTAGGGGTGTCGGTAAGGCATGTATTGTAGGGTTGTTGGTAAGGCATGTATTGTTGGGGTGTTGGTGAGTCGTGTATTGTAGGAGTGTTGGTAAGGCATGTATTGTAGGGGTGTGGGTAAGGCATGTATTGTAGGGGTGTTGGTAAGGTATGTATTGTAGGGGTGTTGGTAAGGCATGTATTGTAGGGGTGTTGGTAAGGCATGGATTGTAGGGGTGTTGGTAAGGCATGTATTTAAGGGGGTGTTGGTAAGGTATGTATTGTAGGGGCTTGGGTAAGGCATGTATTGTAGGGGTGTTGGTGAGGCATGTATTGTAGGGGTGTTGGTAAGGCATGTTTTGTAGGGGTGTTGGTAAGGCATGTATTGTAGGGGTGTTGGTAAGGCATGTTTTGTAGGGGTGTTGGTAAGGCATGTATTGTAGGGGTGTTGGTCAGTCGCATATTGTAGGGTCTTTTGGTAAGGCATGTATTGTAGGGTTGTTGGTAAGCTATGTATTGTAGGGGATGTTGGTGAGGCATGTATTGTAGGGGTGTTGGTGAGTCGTGTATTGTAGGGGTGTTGGTGAGTCGTATATCGTAGGGGTGTTGGTAAGAAATCTATTGTAGGGGTGTGGGTAAGGTATGTATTGTAGGGGTGTAGGTAAGGCATGTATTGAAGGGGTGTTGGTAAGGCATGTATTATAGGGGTGTGGGTAAGGCATGTATTATAGGGGTGTGGGTAAGGCATGTATTGTAGAGGTGTTGGTGAGGCATGTATTGTAGGGGTGTTGGTAAGGCATGTATTGTAGGGGTGTGGGTAAGGCTTGTATTGTAGGGGTGTTGGTAAGGTGTGTATTATAGGGGTGTGGGTAAGGCATGTATTGTAGAGGTGTTGGTAAGGCATGTATTGTAGGGGTGTTGGTAAGGCATGTATTGTAGGGGTGTTGGTAAGGCATGTATTGTAGGGGCGTGGGTAAGGCATGTATTGTAGGGGTGTTGGTAAGGCATGTATTGTAGGGATGTGGGTAAGGCATGTATTGTAGGGGTGTTGGTAAGGCATGTATTGTAGAGGTGTTGGTAAGGCATGGATTGTAGGGGTGTTGGTGAGTCGTATATTGTAGGTTTTTTTGGTAAGGCATGTATTGTAGGGTTGTTGGTAAGGTATGTATTGTAGGGGGTGTTGGTAAGGCATGTATTGTAGGGGTATGGGTAAGGCATGTATTGTAGGGGTATGGGTAAGGCGTGTATTGTAGGGGGTGTTGGTGAAGTATGTATTGTAGGGGGTGTTGGTGAGCCATGCATTGTAGGGGTTGTTGGTGAGCCATGTATTGTAGGGGTGTTGGTGAAGTATGTATCGTAGGGGGTGTTGGTGAGCCATGCATTGTAGGGGTTGTTGGTGAGCCATGTATTGTAGGGGTGTTGGTGAGCCATGTATTGTAGGGGGTGTTGGTGAGCCATGTATTGTAGGGGGTGTTGGTGATGTATGTATTGTAGGGGGTGTTGGTGATGTTAGTATTGTAGGGGCTGTTGGTGAGCCATGTATTGTAGGGGTGTTGGTGAGCCATGTATTGTAGGGGGAGTTGTTGATGTATGTATTGTAGGGGTTGTTGGTGAGCCATGTATTGTAGGGGTGTTGATGGGGCATGTATTGTAGGGGGTGTTGATTGGGCATGTATTGTAGGGGGTGTTGCAGACGTATGTATTGTAGGGGGTGTTGGTGAGCCATGTATTGTAGGGGGTGTTGGTGAGCCATGTATTGTAGGGGGTGTTTGTGATGTATGTATTGTAGGGGGTGTTGGTGAGCCTTGTATTGTAGGGGGTGTTGGTGAGCCATGTATTGTAGGGCTGTTGGTGAGCCATGTATTGTAGGGGTGTTGGTGAGCCATGTATTGTAGGGCTGTTGGTGAGCCATGTATTGTATGGGTGTTGGTGAGCCATGTATTGTAGGGGTGTCGGTGAGCCATGTATTGTAGGGGGTGTTGGTGATGTATGTATTGTAGGGGGTGTTGGTGAGCCATGTATTGTAGGGGTGTTGATGGGGCATGTATTGTAGGGTTTGTTGGTGAGCCATGTATTGTAGGGTTTTTTGATGATGTATGTATTATATAAGCTGATCCTGTATTCGAGTCCCGGTTGACGCTGATTATGTTTTTATGTGTGTCAGTCCTGTATCAAGTTGACACGTTGCACAGTTCATAGCGGCGTTAAACCGAATTCACTCACACGCACTCCCTCACCCAGATATGTAAAATCACATTCCACAACTGTTAGAGCAGAAAAAAGGGTTTTCTCCGCTAGAACATTTTTGAATTCACAATTATTTCAAACACGTTGTTATTTTTTATATTTTCCCATTCAGCATGTTCCGAGAACCATGTGGCCGACTCGGGCACATTCACCTCCCCCAACTACCCGAATGGTTACCCCCCAAACAAGAGGTGTACCTACACCTTGACACCTGTCACCCCCGGAGCTACGCTTAGACTCGTGTTCGACGACTTCAGCACAGAGAAGAACATCGATGGCGTGGAGGTATAAACACAAAGAAATTGGGAGATGAACATTCTGTGTTTTAAGATTTTAAGATTCATGCATTATGGCCAAGTCGATGCTCGAAAATTACATTTTGAACCGACATCGTTTTCAAGTTTGAGATTGAGAAAAAAAAAACACTTTTCAAGAACAAAAGTGAAAGAAATTCAGGAATCCAATATTATTAAAAATGTTTTGCAGCACAAACCATGCAAACTCGAAATCTTTGTACAAGATAGATGACCCGACTTTTTCAGCATCTTCACCAACCGAGGCAAGAGTGTTAACTAACTGTAAAAGTCTAGTTTCCATCCTTGCCGAACAAGGCTGGAATTTCTGGGCTCGATCGTAGCGCCACCAGTTGCTATAACGAGTTATGTCCCTTCTATGTCCCTCCTATTGAACAATCAGATTCCACCTCTGATATCACTAGTCTTGCATTTGATTCAAACAAAATGGCGGGGCCAGGTGAGTAAGTTCTGATCGATAATTAAGATCTATATGGTAATAAAACGGGTCTTACTTCGCGAAGTGCATCAAATCACGTGAGCACCTTGATTAAAAACATGAAAATATCTGTTTCCGCTTAGTTGACGGTATACATACTTTGCAAATCCTGCAAGCGATCGAAATCTCGAAAGCAGTTGACGAACCGGATGTTGATTTCGTTACGCGATTTTGATTGGACTATGCATAGACCCATTAGTCCAGCCAAAATATAACTCCATAATTCCAGCCTAGCTCGGCAAGGGTGGAAACTGGACTATTATAGTCAGTTATCTCCCTTGCCTCGGGAAGATGCTTTTTCACAGAACACTTATTGGTATACAAATATAATATTATAACATATAACAAATATTATTAAGAAACTCTGTCTCACTCTCTCTCCCATTTTGCGAACACCTGATGTCATCATTGATTTTCAGTGATCCAATCATATAAATTTAAACGCTATTTTGTCTTTTATGCCAATTGAAATCTTTTTCGGCCTAATGTTATTATTTTCCTGTAAAATTCTAACCAAGCGTCTCAACAAACTAGTGTTTGTTTGTTTCAGAGAAAAATAAGTTAGCTGTTACAGCCAACTTTGTCAGATTTCCATGCATATATTCGTTAAATTAAATAAATGAGTGTCGACGCCGCTTCTATCAATATTCCCGCCATATCACGGCGAAATGATCTTCACAGATTGCACCCAAGTGGGGATTCGAACACGGGCCTTCGGCGTGACGACCCAACGCCTCAACCACGAGGCTACCCCACCGCCTTTGAAATCTGAAATAACAGATTATATGTGAACATCTAAAAAAATAAATCTTAAATGTTAATTTCAGATCTACGCCAAGAACAATACACAGGTGGCTGGCATCAGTGGAGGCCGGTACAGCTGGATCGTGATTGCTACCATGGCCTACTATAGGGTCGTCTTCATCTCCAACGGCGCCATCATGTATGCCGGCGTCAGCGCGTTTTGGTCCAGTGAGTGAACAAGTATTATATGGAGAGCACGTGAGTGAGTTGGGTTTAACGCCGCTTTGAACATTATTCCAGTTATATCACGGTGTGCCAGCTTAATGTGTGAGAAAAGCCCGAAGTGATGCAGTTCTTAGACGTTTACCACTTCGGTGAAACCCACGAGCATGGGTATGGTGCTGATAAACCTAGTAACATAATCGGGGCGAACGGGGATTCGTACTCACGACCATATGTTTCTGGCGTGCTTAAGGGACGTAACTCTGCACAGCGAATAACGACAGGCCCTCATACGACAAGCCCACTGGGGCTCCCTTAATACTGAGAAAACTTGTCTATATATGTCTACATGATCTCATAGTAGAATCTTGTCAAACGTGTGAAACAGACAATGAAGCCAAATTTACAAAACGTAAACATAGATTATGTAATATCGGAAGCACTCTTTTCCGACTGTTATGCAAATAGGCTATGTCAATCCAATGACGTCATCTTGGCATGCAGCCAGATCAAGCTTGGGATTTTGGTGTGACATAACATAACAATAAATAACCTTTAATATATAAGGAGCAACGCTCTCCTAAGCGCGACCAGCTTGCTTCTATGTTGTTGGTTAACATCGCACTCAGCAATAAACAATCTAAATCGTGCCAGCCAATAATAATCGAGTCTGGACCAGACAAACCAGTTATTGATATTTATCAGCAACGCACCACGTTATATGTGTACGATGAAACGCAGTTTAACAAGTTACCGGGCCTGATGGCTTGGGACGCTGTTCATAATATCAATCACTGGTTTGTCGGGTCCAGACTCGATTATTTACAGGTTGGCACGATTTAGATGAGTGCGGCGTTAACCAACAACAGGGAAACACGGTTATTTACAGGCCGCCGTCATTTAGCTGGAATATTACTGAGTGCAGCGTTTTTAACAACAAAGAAACAAAAGACTTTCATTTTGGTAACTACAGGTTCCCATGAAAGGCGTAATCATTGCCCGGATTCGTACCGGACCTTACCGATTTATTATGTTGCAGTTGCCCCATCGTCGGATGCATTTGACTACCAGGTTGCCATGGCAACTTTATGTCCAGTCCAAGGACTCTTTCAACCTATTCCAGAAAAGAACGGGATTAGAGAACTAGAAGTTCTGACAGAAATGACCTTCCATAAATGTATGTTACTTTGTCAGGTTCTAACAAAGTGCTCATATTTCGAATTGTATGCCCCCAAAAGCCTATGTCTCGTCTATGAAATTGAAGCGAGTTACACGTACAAGTATCCGAACACATTTGAGAAGGTTACAAATCCTTAAGGCCCCATTACACAGGGCTGCGACCTTTGTGCCACCTTCGAGCGATCAAAAACTGGCCAGTACGTTCAAAGGTCGCCTAAACCCAGAAAATCATGTTTCTATGTAACTGCTCCAGCAGTTGTTCAGCAGTAACTGCTCGAGTTGTTCAGCGTCTGCAACCACAATGAAACACTGCAGGTACAAACCCTCTATTTATAGGCAGGCTGAGGAGGCACTGTTGGTAGCTCAAAGGAGGCAGAAAAGAGGCAGAAGCATTGCCATGGTGTCTCGGGTGTTGCCGCGGTCGCCGAATGGAGGCACGGCGGTCGCCATACTCATCGTTCAATGCACGGTTTTGGTCGCCCAAAAAAGGCACAAGGAAGGCAGAAGCATCGCCCAGATTGACGGGACAGTATTTCAGCAGAACGCATCTATTACCTGGCGACCATTGGGCGACCACTGTGCCTTCATTCTGCAACAAAGGCAATGCTTGTGCAACCTTCTGCCTCCTTTGAGACACCTTTGAGCAACCAACCTCCTCGGCGACCTTTGTGCGACTGTTTTGAACATGTTCAAAAATTCACGGCGACCATGGCGTCCATGGCGATGTCAGAACCTCCTGTGTACCACCTTGGAACGACCTAGGCAACCTCCTTTGAGCCTCCAACGACGACCTGGCAAATTCTATGGTCGCACCCGGGAGGCACAAAGGTCGCCATCCTGTGTAAAGGCCCCATTAGAGAAATCACTGGTGGCAAAAGAACTGGAATATGATCTACCGGGCAAAAGAAAGTATACACCCAAGTTGATGGTGGCTAAAAATGAAACAAACGAGAAATGGTTATTAGATGGTGATGTATTTGCAACGGGTATCATAGTTGTGTTTTGGACCTCAAATGGACAGTGTTTTCGGCGACTGTTTTCAGCCTTAGTAACGTTTCAGTAACGTATTTATTTCTTTGGTCAACTTCAATTTTCAAGGGTATATTTTCTTTTGCCCGGCATGTTACAATCACATGGTTTGCTCACCCTCGATACACAATAAGTTTTTCTGCATAGGAGACAATTTTGTAAAGTGCTATGATATGGGTGTACCAGTATGTGAGCAAAATGAATTTATCTATATCAGACCATGTTTTATAGATATGACATCGGTAGTAGTTGTCCAAAAGACCGTACAGAGACACCACCTCCCATGTTAATCCAGTGGGGAAATAGGAACCATCGGGGAGCAGCCACCACTAGCGAGGTGGCCACCATGTAGGATGATGTAGTCGTTGGGGGAATCCCCCACACTCTGTTAACAGCCGACCAGGTCAACGATAGCGTCTGTCATGACAGCCTTCCGTGTACAAATCATTGATACGGGAATCTTTGCTGGCTGTAGACATCCAATCATCTAAGACTATAAGGTTTCTCACATACTGCAACAAGAACCCCACTCAGCGAAGGAACTGCCGCTCCCTAGTCCTGTTCAACAACCCAATAGATCAACAACACGTGACCCTAGCTAGACAAATGTATCCTGTAGAGACACAGACATTTATGCAAAAGTATGAAGAGGCATATGCACAACCTTACGGACATTTGCTTATAGAATTGAAACTACTTACGATGAAGTCTGAGCGGCTATGCTCTAATGCCTAACATTAAGACAATCCAGGGACAAGTCTAAAAAAGGACCAAACTGTCGAGAATGACATTGTGCTTATTGTGACTAAGAACTTGAGAGTGAGCAGACGTGTGACGAAGAGCTCTTAGAGCTCTGTCTGCTTGTGTTTCAAGATAATTCACGATTTGCAGAGACTCAAAACTTGTTGGGACTGACAAATTGTGTAGACATGTGAGTGAGTGAGTGAGTTGGGTTTAACGCCGCTTTTACCGTTATTCCAGTTATATCACGGCGTGTCAGCTGAATGAGGCAGGAAAGCCCGAAGTGGTGCAGGTCTCAGATGTTTACCACTTCGGTGAGCACGGGTATGGTGCTGACAAACCTAGAAACATAATCGGGGCGAACCGGGATTCGAACCCACACTCACAGGTTTCTGGCGTGCCCAAGGGACACAACTCTGCACAGCAAATAGACGACTGTGCCACCCAAGCCCCCATAGTTGGAAAATATGTCTTGGGTAAATACAAGATCAGAAAGGGGACGGGAAACCTACAGTTTACAACGTCCTATGAGAAGAACGGTTGCTAGAAATAGAATCGTTGTCACTGGAATTGATGACCAATGGTAAGCTGACCTGATGGATATGGTGAAATTTGCTAAATATAGTGATGGTGACCTATGTTTGGGGGGTAATTGACCGCCCCCGTGGTCTAGTGGTAGAGCGTCCGCCCGGGGAGCGGAAGGTCCGGGGTTGGATCCCCGGCAGCGTCGTACGTTATAAAGATGGTATGTGTTGTTACCCTGTCTGAGCATTAAGGGGCTAAAACAAGAACTGATCGCCTCGGAGTCAGTATACTGTGTCTGAGTGGGGTATTCATGGTAAACTGCGGCATGGTATCTCAGTGTGCTAACACTATAAATCGGCATCATTCCGGACTAGTACAAGCAGCCACACACACACACACATACATGCACGTCGCTATAGCACTGCAATAATCTTGGACGCGACGTTAAACCCCTATTCACCTCACCTCATCTTGTGGTAATTGAAGTGTTCTCCAAATATCAATGGCTAAGACCCTTAAAACCAAGAAAGGGCATAGTGTAGCCAAAGCATTGGAAGATATCTTCAAAGAAGTGAGACAACCAACTCGAATTCGTACTGATCGAGGTCAGGAATTCCGAGCTAGAGAGGTCCAGACACTGTTGAAGAAAAGACAGATTCAACGTCTACTCACCATCAATGAAGCCAAAGCAGTGGTGGCAGAACGAGTGTTGAAGACCATTAAGACAAGGCTATATACACATTTCACCTATAAACAGCCCTATGCCTGGAACAACTGGAAACATTTGCGAAAAGTTGAAAGGAAGCCTATCACAGAGCTATTGGAATGTCTCCGTCTAAAGTGACCAAGGACAAAGAGACCATCATCTGGTGGTGCATGTATTGGCCCAGGAAGAATGTGAAAGAAGTAAGGAAGAATGTGTAAGCAATAATGAATTCACCACAGACACCTTTCCGTTTCAAGGTGGGAGACTGAGTAAGACTGACTCATCTAAGAAATGTATTTTCCGAGAATATGATGAGCGATGGACTGGAGAAATATTCACTATTTCCCAGAAGATCGAGGTGGTCTTCCTCTCTACCGTGTCATAGACAATGATGGGGATGATATTCCAGTAGGCCCAGTGGGCCGACTATGCCCAGTCGTCTAAGGCGCCGCAATTCGCTGTGCAGAGTTGCGTCCCCTGGGCATACCAGAAACCTATAATTGTGGGTCCGAATCCCGGTTCGCCCCTATTATGTTTCTAGGTTTGTCAGCACCATACCCATGCTCGTGAGTTTCACCGAAGTGGTAAACGTCTGAGATCTGCATCACTTCGGGCTTTCCTAACACATTCAGCTGACACGCCGTGATATAACTGGAATACTGTTTGAAGCGGCGTTAAACACAACTCACTCACTCACTGTTAACGAAGTGTGCAGGATTGCCCCAATAACTACATCATCATCCTACTTGGTGGCCATCTCCCTAGTGGCTACTCCCCGGTGGCTCCTATTTTCCCATTGGATTAACATTGGAGGTGGTGTCCTCGTATGTTGGACAGCTACTATCGGCATATGTACATATGAACATTTCTGTTTATTTAACCATAATCTGTATCGATATGACATAGATAAATGAGCATCCATCAGGTTTACATATACACGTTTGTATGTTGTTATGATGTGGACATAAACTGATGGGCAAAAGAAAGTATACACCCATGTTTGATGGTGGTGAAATGGTTATTCGATGGTGATGTATTTCATACGGGAGTCATTGGTGGTATTATAGGTATCATATCAATGAGAGTCGAATCATGCGACTGTCAGCCTAGTAAAGTTTGTAATTTTTTGGTGAAATTCACATTTCATGTGTATGCTTTCTTCTGCCCGGGAGTGTATAAGGACACTCACATTGTCTTGAACACCTTATCTTAAATTATAGGTGGACACTATTAATAGAAATATTTTATTTAACACTCAAGCTGTCATGAAAACCCAGAATGGAATTTAGCTTGTTAAAATGACAGGGATATGTTAACATAATCCCCAGACCATTACATTTGGGTGAGCGATTCGTACATTTGTTTTCGTAGATGTATGATTTTATTAAAATAAAAAAATCGAGTTATGTCATTTTTCCTTAATTCCAAATATGTCATTTTGTTGATTTATTTCCAATGTTTTGCCAGTATTGTTTTTTTTTATCCATTTCCTTAAGCAGTTCCACAACGGTTTTACAAATATTCATCCATTTAATCGATTCAACTTTAGCATTGCGGATTGTATATAATGGTGATGGTTTTAATCAATATTAGTTGTGAGAATTCTATGGACCACATCACATGGTATTGAACTTTTAGTTCGGTGATATCCGTTGCCCGAAAAGCAATAATACCATACGTTTACCATAATTCATACGTTATTTTGGAGTCGATTCATTTTCCCATTTTGTTTTACAACGACGATTTTTGTTTTCATTCAAATTGTTTACTAAACCTGAATAAAGTATCTTGAATCCTTTATCGTTTTTACATAACATCTATAAAATTTGAGGAGAAATGGCAAATCCTAATCGTTTTTTCAATATTGATTTGGTAATTGCTTACGCCCTTTTAATAAAATCAATCCTGCGTATTCAAGAAAATTTTTTTTAGTTGATACAGTTAAGTGAATTCATCATAACTCAAAAACGTACAATCGTTTTTCAGATAATCTTTTACATTTTGATATTTGATTTCCAATAGTGCTAAAATAAAACTGGTTTATTTTTTCCTTGGACATGATCCCTAGTCCGTATATATGTACGGATTTGGGGCCCAAAACTTGAGATTGGTAGGTGAAAAATTGATTATTTTTTTTCCAATTTCAATTTATTTTTTTTATAATTGCATCAAAATGTAAAGAAATAATGAATTTAAAAAAGTGGGGTCCGGAGTTTTCAGAACAGATGTTAATAATAGTAATTTAATACTATTAAAAAGTCTTGCCGTGCGAGCTCGGGCGTTGTCTTGTTGGAAAATGACGTTCGCTTGTTGCATAATGGGAATGACATGTGGCCACAGAATCCCATCCGTGTAGGGGCGGTCGGGTAGCCTAGTGGTTAAAGCGTTCGCTCGTCACGCCGAAGACCCAGGTTCGATTTCCGACATGGGTACAATGTGTGAAGCCCATTTCTGGTGTCCCCCGTCGTGATATTGCTGGAATATTGCTAAAAGCGGCGTAAAATCATACTCACTCACTAACTCACTCATCCGTGTAACGTTGTGCCGTTAGATTTGTCAGAACTTGCACCAAATCTGTTCTACCAGTGTAGGAGATGGCAACCCACATCAAACCACCACCAAATCTGTCCACTTCTTGTATGCAGTTTCGTGCATAACGTTCCCCGCGACGCCTGAAAACACGTCTACCATCGGCATGGCGAAGCATAAAACGTGACT